CTGCAGCCCCAGCTGGAGTAACGCAGAAGTGCAGCTGTTCACGAGGTGATGCCTGTCTGCTCGTTTGGGGTCGTTCGCTAATGTTCTGATGCCATCTAGCGTTACAAAAGGCTGCGTGTATTCTGTTTCGACTGCATTGCTAATGGCTCTTTAATGCCCAATAAAAAAGTAATAAGCTCATCAAGAACAAATCTCATAGAACAAAGGGTGACAGTGATAAGATCTCTCTTTAGATCTAGAATGTTGTAGCCTAACCTGGGCACAGAGCCACACCTCAACTCAAATAACAAGAAAAAACACATTATTTTATATACAGGTAGGGCTGAGCTATGTGGAACATTACCTCAAAGTAAGGAAAAAAAAAAAAAAAAGAAAAAAAAAAAAGGCTTAAGTTTAGTAATTGTTTTACTGAATCAATGCAGCCAGGACAGGATATGCAGGAACAGCAATTTGATTTCCTGACTGTGCACACCATGCTAAGACCTACTGACATTACCTTTGGAGATGACCAGAGGGGACAAGATGGCTACCAACAATGTGAATCGCTTTTCCTGAGCATCTCAGCAGTAACACAATACCTACTTTACAAGCTGTAGTAAGTTTATCCACACTCAGAGAACTGAGCCACTGCCTGTCAGTCAGGATCTTCCTTATTCTTCCACACCCACTACCCATCCCAGCTCTGTTTCCCCACAGGTCATGGGACTAGAGGAACCCTGCACAACCTCTGCAGCTGCAAAAGCCATCCAGAGAAAAAAAAAGTCTACTACACATAGTCCTAATGTTCTCTAAAGGAAACCTAATAGTGGATCCTCAGTGATGGCTTGCTTAATTGTATTGTAAATTAAGCAACCTATCTGTCTTCCCATAGTTATGTTCTCTCCTCTATACCATTGGGAAAAATCAAGAACCTGAGTGTAGGGTGGGACGTGTCAGGCATTTTCCTCTACAAACAACCAGAGGAGAGGTCAACTGCAATCTGTGTACTGGCAGGGGAGAGGGAAGACTCAGCAGTTGGGTCAAGGGGAAAGCTTGAGGGAGAAATCATTGGGTGGGAACAACAGCAAAGTGACCCCTCACCCTGTCTCCCTGAGAAGCAGCAGTCCAATTCTTCCAGAGCCAAGGACAGGAGAAGAATGGCAGGTCCCTTTTCTGAGGCATTTAGTGCTCAGCTCTTTTATCACCTAGGTCATCGTATATCTTATTTGTCCCAAGAATGAGTCACTGGAAAAGTCTGAACCCAAGGAGAACAGCCCAAGATGTTTTGTTTGTTTGCTTGCTTTTAATACTGTTACTTTTGGTGCTCCCATTACTGAATTCTTTCTCAGACTCCATCTTGACACCTCTTAGTTGTCAAGATGTTACTAATTTCTAGATGTTACTAAACATGTTACTAATTTTTGGCTGTCCACCCACGTGGGAAGCTTGTACTAGTAAACTATTGTGTGAATTTTCCACCTGGGTCTGCCTAGAGTCATGGATTGCCAGTCTCTGATGACTGTAGTGTGTGACTGTTTGGGGGTTCATGCTGGAAGGGACAGGAAACAAAGTGGCAGGGGCTGAAATGGCTCTAGGGAGAGATGAGAAAATGTACTTAAAAGCTGGGAGGGATTGGGATGAGATGAGGTGGTCCTAAGTTCTGGAGGCCACATTCATCTGCGTTGATGAAAGACAAACAGAAGAAGCAACTGAGTCTTTGTTCTCCTGAGAAACATTTTATACATATGTATACATAGGAATCAATCAACTACCACTACAGTAGATGTGTCTACCTCCAAATGGGGAAAGGTCTCCCTCCCCACCTCTCCCATCAGAAGCTTTGGGGAATGGAGCAATATACACAGCTTAGCATGAGGCTTGGGCAGAGACACTGGAAATAAAGCAGCCACTCAGGAACATGGGGATTTCACTGACCCAAGATGTCAAGGCAATCATGAGGAACCTGAGAGGAACCATTGGGAAAAAGCCCTTTCCTCTAAGGACCTGCCCATTGCAGTCAATATTCTTATTGTACACTGAGTTTTATGTATATCAAACAGAAAATGCAGTGCAACATCACTTACTTCCTCCTCTTTCTGTGTGTCTCCATCTGCCACATAAGACAGATCCTCAGAAGTACTGTTGTGCCCTGTGGTTCTGACCCTCCTCATTCTTTTCACACTTGGCTCCTGCATGAGCACTTAGTTTTTCTAAAGGAAGGGTTATCTTCTTTCCTCTGTCATTTTATAATCATCTTTGGCATGTGGCTCACTGCTAATCTGTGGTATCTTACTGTTCCTGAATATCTCTCCCATGCCCCTTAGTAGTGGTGTGCAAACACCACATCCTGTTTCATCAAAGAAACCATGCAATTCTAATCCTTGTCACACAGCTAAGACACCCCTCTTTGTAATCCTGGGATAACCATGTCTTCCAGCAGTGTATCAGTTCCATTCCCTAATACCTTACTCCTCTCAGTGTAAAAAAGGGATTTTCTGCTTAGAAGAATAGAGAACTAGCAATGATGAAAATTTCTCACACCAGCAGGTCTGCAGAGCATCCTCATTGTAGCTGTGTATATTCCCTTCCCTTTTTCCCTCCCTCTACTTCATTAACTCTTGTCTTGGCTTCTCCCCACATGAGGGCTGAAGTCCCTCAGTTTTGACACCCTGTGATATCCTAGCCTTTTGTCCTACTATATTATCACAGCCCTCAGTCCTGGCTGGTGTCCCTAGAACAGTGTGCTGGGCCTCTCTGGAGCAGAGAAGCTTTAAAATGTTGGCATTGTACTACATAATTCATAAAAGAAACCGCAAATGTACTTGCTGCCTACAGCAAGACTGTCAACAATGTAAGTGGGGATCCAAGAAATCTGTATGCAATGTGATCTGTTTAAACCCTATCCCTGAAGATCAGATTAGATATCTCTCCTTCTCTGTTACTCATTTGTCCTACAAACACTTGTCTCAGCAGAATAATACAAACGGGCTTTTCTAGGCTTTCCTAGCACATAAGTCAGAATGAACTACAACCTTCAAAATCCATAGACCCAGGCTATGTTTTGTAGTGCATTATGCAACTAGACAAATTGTAAATGAGATTCACAAGGCAATTCCTGGCAGAACTGGTTGGAAGCCTGCTGAGGCATTTGTTTTTCTTATCAGTACTCTGAATCCTCCTGGAAACCATGTTAAGATAGATGAAAGACAGGGAGGTGAGTGGAGATAGCCAACATGGCTTCACAAAGGGCTAGTCAGGTTTGACTGATTTGGTGGCCTTCTAAGACAAAATGACAAGATTGGTGGACAAGAGCAATGGCTGTCATCTACATTAACTTGTGTGAAGTTTTTGATATGGTCCCACTGAACACCCTTGACTGTAAATTGGAGAGAAAAGGATTTGATGGACGGACTATTCAGTGGATAAAGAATTGGCTGGAGGGTTATACTCAAGGAGCTGCAGTCAATGGTTCAATATGCAGGTGAAGACCTCTGAGAAGTGGTATTCCTCAGGTGTCTGTACTAGGACCGGTACTGTTTAATGTCTCCATCAGTGACATGGACAGTGGGATTTAGTGCATTTTAGCAAGTTTTCAGATGACACCAAGCTGAACACTGCAGATGATACTCCAAAGGGAAGGGATGCCATCCAGAGGGACCTTGATAGGCTTGAAAAGTGGGCCCATGTGAATCTCATGAAGTTCAACAAGGCCAAATACAATGTCCTGCACCTGGGTCAGGGCAATTCCAATCATCAGTACAGACTGGGTGATGAATGGGTTAAGAGAAGTCCTGTAGAGAAGGACTTGGGAGTTCTGGTGGGTGAAAAACTCTGTGTGAGCCAACGATGTGCTCTTGCAGCCCTGAAGACCAATTTATCCTAGGTTGCATCAAAATAAACATTCCCAGCAGGCTGAGGGATGTGATTCTCCCCTTCTAGTCTACTCTCATGAGACCCCACCTGGAGTACTGCATTCAGCTCTGGGTGTCCCAGCACAAGAAGGACATGGACCTGTTGAACCAAGTCAAGAGGAGGGCCACGAGGATGATAAAAGGGCTGGAGCACCTCTCCTGTGAAGAGAGGCTGAGAGAATTTGGGTTGTTTAACCTAGAGAAGAGAAGTCTCTGGGGATACCTTAATGTGGCCTTCCAGTACTTAAAAGGGGCCTCACAAGAAAGGTAGGGAGGGACTCTCTACCAAAGGAGTGTAGTGATAGGACAAGTGACCAGTAATGTCTTTAAACTGGAGTAGATTTAGATTAAATATAAGGAAGAAATTCCTCACTATGAGGGTGACGAGGAACTGGGACAGGTTGCCCAGAGAAGTTGTGTAAGTCTTCACCCTGGAAGTGTTCAGTTTAGATGGGGCTTTGAGGAGCCTGATCCAGTGGAAGATGTCTCTACTAATGGCAGGGGGGCTAGAACTGGATGATCTTTAAGGGGCCTTAGTTTGCTTTTAACCCATACAATTTTATGATTCTATGATAGGGCCTTTTGTCCATATAGCCGCAGTCCAGATTGCTACTGCAGGATAGCTTCTTTATATAGCTTCACCATAGCTGATAAACCAGGAGCTAAAGCTTCACCAGCCTTTTCCCCACAAACTTTCCAATAATTATTGCACCAGGCAATAAGGTAGCACAGTCAGGGTTCATTTCAGCATTTGCAAGGAAAGACACATAGTCAGAAGAGTCCTTTTTCCTTCGTGAAAAGAGGCATCGTTCACCTATTCTAAGGAGTACTGGGTAAAACAAAAACTTTTTTTTTTTTTTTTTTTTTTTTTTGGCTGTGTGGTACAAACCAGCTCTTTAAAATGTTGTAATATGTACATGGGATGGACTAGTATAGTTTCACAGAGGCAGGGTGCCAAGACTATTATGTAAGATGTTGATCTTTCTTAAATGTTAAATTGGATATAAAACAGCCAGTTTCCACTTCCTCTTTCTGGCAACAGGCCAGCCTCATGTAATTCCATATAAGATGGGCCCCTCACAGCAGAATAGCTGCTCAGGGTATCAACAGAACACAGAAATTGCAGCAGTCCTGTGGATAATGTCTGTTCTCTTCTCAAGAATAAGGGGCATGTTCTTCCTCTTGTTCCTCACATGGTTTTGTTCTGGTCAGCCTGCACCTCCACTCTTACGTTTCTCTGTCTACCTGGATCCTTTAAACATGGTATACCTTCGTTGGGACCATGATGAACAGGAGATGATGACTTTTGAGCTGCAGGTTCACACAACAGGCTGGGTGGCGTTTGGATTCAGCCCTCATGGAGAGTTGCCTGGATCTGACATTGTGATTGGAGGTGTCTTCTCTAATGGCAGCATCTACTTCTCTGTAAGTTGAAAAGCCTTCTGAAAAGTCTTCTTCTGCAACCCTCTTTGCCAAGGGCCACGTTATCAGTGTGTTGTCTTGAGAGCATATGGGCTTAACCATCTAAAGCTATCTGGGACCATTTTAGATGCTATAGTAGCCTCTGCCTGAAAGAGTCCAAAAGGTCCCAGGTCTTCTGCAGGTCCTGTATCATGGCTGCTATCCCCATGCAGCTACCTCACGTACACTATGATATCCCAGATGGCACTAGATGTTGTTGTTAGGCAAATAAACTGATCCCATCTGTGAGTCAAAACCACAGCTATAACCAATTAGATTTGATCAAAGCAGTCACCTACCATGAAACTAGAAAAGGCTGCTGGGAGAGTTACTTCAGACAGGATTCTGATGTGAAATTCCTCTGTTTTTCCTCACTTTCATCCTCTTCAAAGGTTAAATAAAATACAAGAAAATTATAGTTTGCCTACTACAGATGTTGAGCGGATGGGGAGAACAGCTTTTCACATCTCTCTGCCATTTATGCATTCAGCTGTCTTGATTTTGTGTAGGAGCTCATAGCCTATCAGAATTGTGGTCTAGCTTTGCAAAGTGGAAGAGACCTCCTTGGAGCCTAGCTTTGACCTGAGTACTGTGAATGGGAGTCCTCCTACCAAAGTAAAGTTGTTGGAGAGGCAGTCATCTAGATTGAACTAGCTTTCTGAGTTTCTTCTGGAGTAAGTGGAGAGATGTGTTCACCTCCACAGGTGGCTTCTTCCTGACAGTGTTAAATGCTCTAGTAGGAATAGGATGGAACACCCTTGGGGCTTGATGATTTTTTCCATTGACTGTAAAGGCAATAACTAAGGTTAGATGCTTGATGTTAAGACAGCTGAACTGCGGATGAAGAAAATACCCATTAGGGTGCTAAACACAAAAACGGTGTGTTTGTTTGTTTGAAAGAGAAATAGTTTAGTATTATCCAGACACAGGAAAAGAAGAAGGTACACCGATTAAATATTTGCAATTCAAAGTGGTTTTAGTTTGCTCAGACATTTTATTTTACCTATTCACATAACAGCAAAATGTGTTTTGCACGAAATGTGTCTACATTTTCTAAAGTCAGTGAACTTTGGAGGAGGTGAGGTAGCTAGCTTCACTTATAGTCTAGTTGTTTGCAAAACTGCTCTTGTAATACTGAGTTTTAAATCTTCTTTTGATTGTGATGCAATGAATTATGGGGGTAAATGAAACTACAGGAGGGAAATAATATGGACAACTTAGAAGAAACTGTTGCTTGTACTTTATTTAAGAGTAATTACAATACTAATAATAATTCAGGGTAAAATGAAAGCATTTAACAACTCCTAAAAGGTATATCCTAAAATAAGAACTTGAAGTATTCAGTTTCAAAATTATTAATATTAAACTTTCCATAATATTCAGATTAAATATTTAACATTTTCATAGTTTCTCTGCCTTGGTAGCTGGAGTTCTTCGCTTAAATTAGAAAATCACTTCAGTCCCACAGACATCCTAGTTTTTATCAGCTTTACTACATATAAGAAAATATGTCCCAATAACTTAAATCTGGAGACATTATAGTAAGCAAGCACATTACTGAACACAAAAATCTACGTGTGTTGTAGGATGTGTGTCATTTCTCCTGAACCCATGAAACAGACTGTGGAAAAATTTGCTAGTTAACATAAATGGCATTTATGTGGAGCTTTGTTTGTGTTCTTCCCTTAATCCTTTTTCTTGCATCCTTGGTTTTTGTTTTAATCCTCTTTTTTACTTCAACCATGCCAAACTCATTATCTGAATAATGACCAATGGGTGGGAAAACTACCAAAAAAAAAAGTTGGATTTCTGTTTATTGTTGCTACAGCTGTTCACTGCTTTTCTCTTTTTTTATGATATATTTAATTTTACATATTTTTTCAAAGTACTTAACTTGCAAAATACTTATCTTTAAATTGTGATCTTAGAAGCTTTGGTATGCCCCAAATATTTCATATCTAAACTACCCCTGTTTTTCAGCAGGGCTTGCTTTACCTCACAGTTCCTGTGTAACTTAGCCAAATGTGCTAGAATACCCTGGTATGCAGGAGGAGATACCCTCTGTCAGGGAGTGGGGAAGATCCTCTAGGACCCATCCTATCCAGGCCATCCTCTGGGCAATGGGACACTAGGGGCTTCTCTTCCCTTGAGAAGCTGGATGTAGCAGGACTGGATGGGAGTTATCTTTGATTTATTTTCGGAAATCGGCAGTGAAAATGGGGGAGGTTTTTTGGTGAAAGAAATACTTAGATTATTCAGGTACCACCAACAGTAATTAGAAACATGACTTCCTGGAGTGTAGGAAGTTTTTTTCTCCTCTCTATGGCTTCTTTTTCTCTCCTCCCTATGGCTTCTACCACTCTTCCTTTTCCAGGATTTTCATGTGGTAGATGATGCAACCCTTGAGGAAGATGATAGCCAGGACTACCAACTGCTGTCAGTGACAGAGAATGAAACCTCCACCACCATGCTGTTCAAGCGCCACCTCCGGACATGTGACTCAAATGACCTGGATATCACAGTAAGGAAGGGGACTGGTCAAACAACAAACCAAACCAAACTGCTCTCATGTCCCACTGTAGTCCAAGTTTCTCTGGATAAGATCTGAGAATAACAAGATTTTCTCACAACAGTAAAATTACAGGAATATGAAGAAAAATATGGTATCATATGGCCACATTTATAATGCCCATTTCACCCACTGATGTGTTTTATATTTTCTTACAATGTTTTCCATCAAATAATTGTTATGATGTAAGTCTCAGTGTTTTCTTAAGCTTGAATACAAGTTTAGTCTACACAAAAATGTTTGTCCAGAGGTAAGTGTATATTCAACATTTTTCCAGAGTTCAAATACACGCTCAAAAAAATAATTACATTCCTTTGAAGTGACAGACCTTCCTAATTACCTTCACTAATTGGAAGAAATATAATCCCATTCTAAATGGTAAGAATGTTCAGACTTCCAAAGCTACTGCTGTTCTTGCATGGTGGGGCAGATCCAGGCAGGAATGTATGGTCAGTGTTAGCTGCTAATGGAGAATCATGGTACTACAGTCTTGTTAGCATTTTTTAAGTCTTGTAGCAATTCTTAGTAAAAGTTTCTGAAGCCAGCACCTTTTATTTGTAAGGAAAAAAAAGTGTGTGTGTATATATATAGATACATATACACACACAAATATAGAAATATATGTATATATTGTTTTTGGGCCTGGACAAGGCAAATTTTATGTGTTATAATGATTAGTTTCTGTTGTGTGTTCTGATATATTGCCCGATTGCCCATGTGTAACATACATACCAAACATTCACGTTTATAATACAGGTGACTTTTAACTGCAGATGGTTAGTATTGTATTGGATTTTAATATGTGTGCAGCAGTATAATGCAGATGGTGTGGGTGAATTACATGTTTATCATTGATGGGAATGAATTAAGATTTTCCAATGAAACACTCTTATTCCAGATGGACACAGCACGTCTCATTACTGCATTTGGCACTGATGACACAGTACAACTCTTTAAGGGCCAAAAATTTTCTAAGTCTCTTTTCTTGATGAGATACAGAAGTCCATCCAACTTAACTGACCCTAAAATATTCTTCACCTATGACCTGAGGCTGGACAACGTAAGTATTGGACAAAAAAGTTAGCTCCCAGGCTCAATGTCTAAGCTGTGCTTGCTCAGAGTTGTGGATAGGTGAACTGGAATGCTGGAGCAGGCTACCTGGGATGTGTTAGAGGAGGAGGACAGACTTATTCAGAAAAGAAATGATATATGTATGTGCTGTGCTTGAGACTCTAGACATACAGGAATTAAAAATTGTTGATTGAACAGGTTAATTGTTAAGACTTGGTGGTGCTGACCACTGTATTTTCTCTTCACCAGAATGGAGTCTTATCTTCTTGAACCTTCATTCAAGAATCATTTCACTGATTGCTACCAGAACCCCATTAGTCTCTTGCTAACTGCATCACCTTTCTCTCCATCCTGACTGGAGGAACAGGGTCCAGTTCTGTTTTTTTTTGTTCTTTTTGCACAGCCTTCTTTTGGCTTCTCCACTTTCCTGCACATGTTATTGTGTTGCCAGAGGAATCTTCAGGTGACTTATGTGTCTGCTTCTTTTACAGTTTGCTGTTCCTGTTGAAGAAACCAAATATGCCTGTACCTTTCTTCCACTGCCCAGGGTTAAGCAGAAACACCACATCTACAAGGTAAACTGGGGAAAAAACAGGACAGAACAGACTTGTTCCTTCAATTATGCCTGCAAGTCTGTCCCTTACAGCATTTTTAGCATAAATCTGGGAGCATTCCACGTGTCCTTCACTGCCATTGGGATGAGCCAGTTAATTTGTCTGGATTGCGTAAAAATATTCTCTGCCTCATTTCTAACCTTGAAATTATCTTTGTCTTTATGTACATCACGCCTGAAGAAATCTTCCTACAAGTCTGATTCTCTCAGTGTAATGAACTCAGGCCATGTTACCTATCAGTATCTTTGAGAGCAAAGGGAGCCTGCAGAATTTTCTGTATTTGAAATGAATTCAAGGACTTTTCCTTTTGTTCTTGGAAATTTCTAAGCATATCTATACAAAAGGCAAAATTAACACTTGAAGCAGTTTCAAGATTGAATATGAAAAGAAAAGAGAAGATCATGAATTTACCAAACCTAGATTAATTCTCAAATTAAGATAATTTTTCTTTAATGTCACACAACCCTTCTTAATCTTGTAGGTTTTGAAGGTTTAAAAAAGAGATGTTCCAATGAATTTATGTGGAATTTCAGAATAAAGAATTTACATGGACTGGAAAAGTGAGAATTTAAAGGACAAAAAGACAAGCCGACAAAACAAATTCATGAGTTTTAGTCAGTTCTGGTGGTAACATCAGGATTTTGAGGCCTGATCTCACTGGTACTAATAAAACTTCAATGATTCATAAACAGATCCAGGTTATTTGCAGGTTTATTTTAAACTATCTTGATTATAGTTGTGTTGGCACAACTGAGGGGTCAGCAAGTTACAGTGAACCTAGATGAAGCATCCAAGGTCAAGGTTCTTTATCTTGCTATTCAGACAGTAAAGTGGTTCATGAGGTAAACTAGTTATATTTCCAGTCTGGAATCCCACTGCCCAAAATAGTAGGGCAAATAGACGTCCCTATAATTCTGATTAAAGAAACATGCTTTAGAGGAAAATGCAATTAAATTCTGAAAAACATGGACTCTGCTGGATGCATATGGAAATTAGTAGATAAACCATCATCCAGTTTGCCATTCATCTTGTGAATCTGATTTTCTGTTCACCCAAGCTGTGGTTAGCTGTTCTTCCTTGTTGCTTGAGAAATAAATATTTTAGGAATGAAAATAACTTTTTTTTTTTTTCTGTCTCTTTATCTTGCTTACAGTTTGAGCCTGTAATAACTCCCCACAACATAACTTTAGTTCATCATATTCTGGTTTACGCCTGTGGCAATGCCAGTGTGTTACCAAGTGGCATAGATGACTGCTATGGAGCCAATCCAGATTTTGCCCTGTGCTCTCAGGTGGTTGTGGGCTGGGCTGTTGGAGGAGAGGTAAGTCTGTGGGGCCCATTCTCTTCCTTATTTCTTGTGAATAGTGGTAACCCTTTTTGTCATCTTATCCAGTAACACCTCACTGTCCTGCAGAGCCAGTCAAATTGAAGGTCTCTCATTTTATTCTCACTCAAGTCATCTGTGGCATCAGTTGAAGATGTTGATTTCTACATAGCTGTTGATACATGGAGTGTATGTGCATGTTATTATCATATAGGCATTGAACAGTTATTATATGTCAAATAGTAAGGCTTTAATTCTGACCTTTTGATAATGTTGACATGAATGTAACAAAACTCTCCTTGGCTAATCTTGCATAAGAGAAAGGAGTGTAACTACTCGCTGCCTTCATTCCTACTGGCTCCACTTGTTTTTCAGCATAATAAAATTAAAAGTTCAGTGAAATTGGTGCAATGGGTGAATGGTTTAGTTAATACTCAGGGTTACACAAATTATAGCATCTATATTGTGATGGTTACTTCACTTCTCAGAGCAAAATGTATTTTGTGGTTCTATGGTATGGATGTACATGGGGAGGAAAAGATGTAGGAGATGAATTTTAGACAAAACACATTCATTTTATTTAGATTTAGAATTATGCAGTGCCAATGCTGATGTGAAATTCAATGCAAGAATTTATACTTTATATAAATATCCTATAAAATACAGTAACAAATAAAAATGAAACCAAGCAAAAGAATAATGGAAAAATAAATTTTGAAAAGTCTTCCTTATTGCAGTTCAGAAGAAAAAAATAATTAGAACAGGAACAATTTTTGACAACATTTTGGTTTTTAATAAAGTCTAAAAAAAATTCAATATTCACAGATGCAAGAAAATCAAAACTTTATTTTTCTAAGTTTCCATATTTTGACTCTGTCCAAAAACAGAAAAAAAAATAAAAAATAAAAAATAAAAAGGGAGAGAAGAGTTAAAATTACTCATTACTTCATGTAACTTTATTTCTCCACAAGTCTTATCAATTTCCAGATGATGCTGCATATTCCATCGGAACACCTTGGGACCCTCAGTATGTCCGACTGGAAATCCATTACAGCAATTTTGACTTGGTATCAGGTGGGTAATGTTGGGTAGTTGCCTGACAAAGAACAGCAGCAGGATGGTAGTCTCAGACCTCACCTACATACCAATTAAGAACCAGTTACTGAGTGAAATTCTTCCATGTATTGATCAGTACAACTTTCAGACAGTAAGAGGAAACTGAGAGGTGCTGAGAGTCAAGCAGTGACTATCTGGGTATTGAGGGGACTGGGGATGTGGACCTGGAAGCTGAGAAAGGTGAGGATTCAGACATGCACAGAATGAATGGAAAACTATGGAAATAGGTCATGTAAACCAGAGATGTTTCTAGAGTCATTGCTGAAGGAGTGATTATTTTTATTTTAAAGGTTTGATCGACAGCTCAGGGGTACGAATATACTATACACCAGAGGTACGAAAGTATGATGTGGGGATACTGCAAACAGGCATCTTCACCTTCCCTGTGCATTTCATTCCTCCTGGAGCAGAATCCTACAGATCTTATGGCCTTTGCAATTCAAGCCAGTTTGATGAAGTGAGTGTGGGGGAAAGGCATGAAATCCTTCTTGATTTTTTTGATCTTTCTCACTTTGGTCTTTCATCTTGCTCTAGACATGTCCAAAAGCTGTTTGGTGAAGGGTGCCATCTTGCCTTTCATTTCTGATTGTTGCAAAAAGAATAACTTTTCTAGCAAAACTGCTCAGAAGAGACCCAGGGTTTGGCCCAAGAGCATTGGCAGAGCTGTACAAGCATGTCAAAATCATGGCTCAAGTAACCATTCACATCATCTAAGTGAATGGTGTGTGTGTGTAAACAAAGAATGTAAAGCTCCCCAAGACCCAAAATGTAAAGCTTCCCAAGACCCCAAGGGAGGGTTCCACTACATGTGAGAATTTTGTCCTACCACAGGCATGTGGTACTGGTGCAGGAAGGCGCGTGCTGGGCTGGGAGGATGTGGTGCAATCTCTCAGGTCAAGAAGATACCTCTAGGGCAGAGAGCTCACATCCCTCTAAAAACTGCCATGGGGTTGCTTACAACAGTCAATTCCAGTGGACTATGGGATCCAGGGGATTTACCACCTCCAGGACTACTAGATACCCCTTTCACTGCTCCTAATCCCAGTTGAGGCTGGGGGCAAACGCCAAAAACACAGACATCCTCCACTCCACCCCACCCACCCAAACACACATGACCAGAGAGTGGTGTCAGCTGGCCACCAACAGATCAACATAGACAGGAGTACAGTACCTTTATGGGCACCCCATGGGTGAGCATAGACATGGGGGTACCCTTGTGAGCACACAAATGACCCAGTCCTGTTCCTGCTATCTGGCAAATCAAGGTTAAAATTCACTAGAGAAACACGTACATACTCTCATGCAGCTTTCACCGGTACTCGTACTACTGGGTCACTCCAATTTCTGGTTCACACTGTAAGTCCTTCCAGCATCTGTGCCCAGACCTAGGCCCCTTTTATGCAGTGTCTTGCAGGGACCTTGGGTCTTACATGTGTGTAGTACAGAAGGCACACTCACACAGAAAATAATTAGCAATAGAGTGTAACAAGTTAGTATATACAGACTGCGGAGGTCAAGTACCAGGCTTGGCCAGCCTAGTACACTGACCTTAACTCTACTTAAGTAAATTTGGACTCTTTCCTTCCTCTCCCCATTGTCCTACATTTGTTACTATTTCCCTACCTTTGAAAATTTCCCTAAACATCCCATAACGTATTTTGCACATTCCCACAATCCACTTACAACATCCCATAAATTTTACTTTTAATTGAGTGATTTTACATTTTTACAATTTTAAAAGTTTTACCATTTTAACTGAACATCCTATAAGAGGTTTGCTCCTTCATATGAGCCCTGAGGTAACCTTGGTTTTCTTATTCTCACCAATTATTACGATTCTCTTTGAAACTTTTCTGGTTTACACTTTGGTCATTCTCTTAATAGCCCATTGATTGTTCAGTCTTATATATAAATGTTACTTACAGTACCCAGCCTGAGAAATCACAGACTCAGACACCTATTTTAAAGTACCTAAAGTGAAATTTTCAGAAAGGCTCGCCAGAACTTTTCTACAGTAACAACCTACATGAGGAAACAAGCTAAACCTTGTTGTTTGTTTGTTTGTTTTGTTTTGTTTTGTTTTTAAATGCTACGTTTAGAGAGGTTCAGTCAAGCCTTTGACTTGATGGGCAGGCTTGAACGTGTATTGCAAAGCTCTGACTGTGAGGCATGACCCACTTTTTTTGGACTGCAGATGAATGGGACACCAGTTCCAGATCTGCACGTCTTTGCCTACTTGCTTCACACTCATCTGGCTGGCAGAGGAGTGAAGGTTGCCCAGTACAGGTAAGAGACATGTTCTTGCCCCTGCCATGGGCTCAGTCACTGACTCTTGGGTCAGAGCAGACAAGAATCCTGCTCCTGGGGTCATTTCCATTCTGAAGGTGCAGGAGACTCCATAGAGTCTGAACTGTAGTGCCAACAACTAGCTCTGAAAACAAGTTCAGTGAAGAATGAAAGAGTAGGACTGCATGTCCTGTCAAACAAAATAGCCCCAGGCACTGAGTTCAAGCACTGCACTGCTGTTCTTCTACACTGGTCAGCTGCAACAAGGTGCTCTGATATGTCTGGACCTGCTTGCCAGACTCACCCCAAGGCTATATAGTTGCGTTTCTGTGGCTTGCATGTACCAGTTCCCGTAGACTGTATAGGCAAAATTCTAGTGGGTTTGGTTTCCTTTGCCACCCTCCCACTCTAAAGATTTCATCTCCCCTATGCACTGTCTGATCACACCACAAGCCATGAGGCGTGAACTCTCACTTTAGGCTATGAAAATAGCAAATCATGGTCTGCAGCATATTGTTTCAACACTACTTCTACCAATTTAAATTTATAAATAAATAAATAAACTGAAGGGGGAGGGAAGAAAAAAGTTGTGCTTTAGGCCAAAAAGGCGTTACAGAGGTCCAAGTGCTTGGTAGCATAGGTATGAACGCTTTCTCTTCCTTAGGTTTCTAATTTCAGAACAACCCAGTATGACCATCATGTTTCAGACTTTACAGGTAGTCAGGCACTTAGACCTTTCTATGTAGCCTGAGAACAATCCATGACCCTATGCTGCTTAGCCATATGGGTGTAGCTCAAGACATTCCAGCAACATTATAATATTAGAGTGCTCACTGTGACAGCTTCAAGGTGAAGTTCTCTGACTGTCTATACAGCATCACTGATGCATCTGGGATGTGATGTGGGTCCCATTGGAATGCTAAGAAGTTTTGGCATTGCTTGGTCTTTACGTGGCTGTGCTCTCACACTAAATTCCCAGACCTCTCTGTCTAGAGAGTTCATAGGATCATAGAACAATTTGGGTTGGAAGAGACCCTAAAGATCATCCAGTTCCTATGCCCCTGCCATGGGCAGAAACACCTCCCACTAGACCAGGTTGCTCAAAACCCCATCCAACCTGACCGTAAACACTTCCAGGAACTGGACATCAACAACCTCTCTGGGCAACCTGTTCCAGTGCCTCACCACTCTCATAGTGAATAATTTCTTCCTTATATATAATCTAAATCTAACTTCTTTTAGTTTAAAACCATTACTCCTTACACTATTTGTTCAGTTCACTTAGGATGAACATATATATGAGAAAAGACTCTTACAGATTTTACCATGTTAGAACCATGCCCTGAAGTCACCTCAAGCACAAGTTCCAAACCAGAAAGTCAAGTGTTGAAACAATTTCTGAACAGATCTGATTCAGTCACAGTGAGCTGTGGGGGGTGATTATTCTTTTCTGGGATTTCCCCTGTAGGATGACTATGTTGTTCTCAATTATTTGTCTAATTAGTGGAGCCTTCAGCCTGTTTGGAAGTTGGTCTTGGTAAATTATAGCAGATTGTGATTATCCTTGATAACAATTTAGGGACTTTCTGTGGTTGTCCCTGGCTGAAAGTTTCTCTCTGAAAGGTAGCTTTTTTTCTGGAGTCTTTGACTCAGGGCTTTGGTAGCACAGGTCTCTCTCCTTTTTAGGTGTTTAGTTTCAAAATATCCTTATGTGCCAAAGCACCCATAGCAAGTAAAAGTGAGGAAGGTAAAGCTATGTTGTTCCAAATTATAGCAGTTTGGGGCTCCTTCTCTTTATGCGAGTCACATGATACACATAAACTGTGCGTTATGTGACAAAGCATCTTCTTTCTTATCATTTTGGAAGTACTCAGCAAGAGCTAACGACTTGTAATGTTGATGGATTAACAATGCTCAAGTTGAGCAAAGGCCACCTAAGGAGATGTATCATAAACCAGTTTAGAGATAACAAATAAAAATTAAAATAGCAGTATAGAAATATCAAATTAACTTTAATTTATTTTTGATGCACCTGCAAGGGAGGGTCTACAGAGCTTGCCAGCTCTAGTGTGCTAGGGTCAGAGAATCTTTCTTTTGGTGGAGTTCTTAATTCTGGGATCCCAGAAAATTTTAGGAAAAAAAATATAAAATTGAATTGTGTGTTTGGGACCATCACTAAAAATGTGTTGTGTAAGTTATGTAAAAAAAGAGATCAAGCATGATGTCTGGATGGGATTTTCCTTGGCTGCATTTATTTCATCCGGGAATCCCGGGAATCAGTTATTTCACACTTCCCTCTGCAAACATTATAACCATCTCCCCTTGTACATCTTTGCCAGGAATGAAAAACAGCTGGGGATCATCTGTGAGGACAACAAGTATGACTTCACCTTGCAGGAGATTCGGGACATGAAGGAAATCCTTGTAATCAAACCAGTATGTTCATTCCTCTTCTGGAATGTAGCTGTGGGGGAGCAAGCTGGGGAGGTGGCATGCATCAGAGATGCTAGAATATGTCGACATATTCTGTCCTTCATTTCACTTCAGGCTTTGGCCTCTTTCCTGCATGTGATTGTTGTCTGTGGTCTGTCTGTACAGCTCTGATGGAATGACCTACTGTGTTCTCTAGGGGGATGAGATCCTGGTCGAATGTAACTTTCAGACACTGGATCGGTCAGGGATTACTTTTGTAAGTTTCTTTTTCTACCTACCATTTTTCCATTGTTTTTAAAACTAGTTTAGCCCCATTAACATCCTTTGGGCAAATCTAATATGGCACTGTCAAATGCTTTTAGTGCTAGACACAACATCAGACATACCGAGGCATGCCTTGCAAGGTTGTGCTGTGGCTGGAGAGTAGCTCACCATTAAGACCCTCCTTCTCTAGGCTTATGAGTGGATCACAAAGATGTCTTGCACCTAATACCATACAAGCTAACCCTCGTCCAAAAAGTCATATGCAAGTAGAGAAACTTGCAGCCAAGTTGTTTTTCAATCACTGAAGAACTTTATTTAGTGGACAGTTTGGGTCAAATACAGAAAGTGAACTAATCTGGCAGCTGGATCTTATTTAGACTTCTTAAAATATAAAGTAATTCTTTTTAACTCTTCTTGTTCAGATCTCAACCACTAGTTTAATTATACATGTACACTTCTGCAGAACACTGCACATAAGCAATTATTGACATACTCTAGCTTCATAACTGACTTATTTCAGAGCTCATACAATGTAGAGATCAAATATTATAGATATATCAGATATTTCCCTTAATGTTTCAGAAGAACTTTGCAAAGTTTCAGACTTTAAGATTGAAAGACAAATATGGTAGTCTTCTTGAAAGACAAAATAAGTACGTTTAAGTTATAAAATTACAGAGCAGCCTATTTATTGAACTGCTGGGAGGATTCTTTGGTTTTAACTGACAGACAATCAGATTCTTCTTTTTTCACCACACACAATCTGCATGATAAGTGCTTTCCTGAGGAGAAACTGTCTCCCCTTTGAATCTCAGTAGGCCTCTGAGTCATCCTTATGTCTTTGCAGGCTGGGCCAAGCACCATGAATGAGATGTGTCTCTCATTCCTCTTCTACTACCCTCGTAACAACATCTCCAGCTGTATGGGCTACCCTGACATTTTGTATGTTGCGCATGTACTCAAGCAGGAGGCCTCAGAGTGAGTCCTGAGTCAGCATGTTTCTGGAGGTAGCAGAGCAAAATGTAGCTATCAAGAATGGTAAATAGAAAAGAGAATGTAAATGAAATGGTCTTAGGGAAGATATACCCACATATCTGGATCTGTCAAGTTGAATTCCCTTGTTGCAGGAATTTATCAACTCCATCACCTTAAAAATCTCTTCTTTTTCCCCTTCCTCCTCACTGCTTGTCTTCTCTACTTCCCCATTTCCCCTTACTCCCTCCTCAGTGCAGTGGAAGGAATGATGGCCATGGACTTTGTTGACTGGAACAACGAAACTGTCAAAACTGCAGAGAAAGCAGCCAAGGAGGCAGATCAAATAGTTGTGATTAAAACCATTAATGTAAGTCCCCCTTCTGCACTATTTCTGGTTGGTGTCACCTCTGAGATTCTGAGAGTTAAGCACAGCTGAAATACAGAGCCAACACACACCACCATGAGAAATACCAGCTAATCATAGCTTATCTACAGCTTATCTATTGGAACTGAAAGAGAGTACTTGAATTATGAAAGCCCATCTCTTAGGTTGCAACTGCAAGCAACTGTCCAAGAGATGTTTAATAATCATTTACCATTGTTCTAAAAGAGTTAAATGTTCTTCAGTGGAAAAAACAAACAAACAAACACTTTTGCATCTCAGTAATATACCAGTGCTTAACAGGTAATGCTACAGAAGGGTATTTTTGATGCAATAAACAATAAAGTAATGTTGAAGATCCCTCAAGCAACATGGGAGTTAGGATGATCCAGAAAGCTCAATCTCATGGGACATGGTTTCCTAGCCTTACTTCTCTAACTACATGTCAGCCTGATTTTACAGATAAATTGGGGGAAAAAATCTCTTAAACTGAGAAAGGATGTAAAATCCATCTTCTCCTCTCTCAGAGGGCTTCTCTTCTGTTCATGACTTTTTCTGAGATGACTAGTTACTCATCCAGACAAGAAATTTGACTAAAACATATCCAAAACTTACAGTGCTATCTGAATTTTTGTGGCTCCCAACTTATTTAAAAAGAGAAACTATAATTTTATTTTGCCTCTTTCCTTCCATCCTCAGGAAATCCAGAAAAATGAGAGTGGTCTCATCAGAGACATTCATATTCCAGAGCGGGCTGTCTGTCACAATGTTTCTGTACAACAGACACTGTCAGATCTGAGAGCTACTGCAAACCTTCGTTTGACCGCAGTACACAATTTTGAATCCTCAACCACCAAAGAATTTGTTTCACTTCCTCTTCTTTTTCTCACACAGCTGTTGTTTGCTTGGATTATTTTTTCCTCTGAGTATAGGAAGTGAGGGGCAGAATACTAGAACAAATCATTGGCCTGATGAAGAAGTCACTGTAATTACCATGTGATATCACAGTGTTCCAGCCCCAATGTGAACACGAGAAGATACTTAAATAATAGCATATTCTCTCCCTTTGGAAGAAATAGGTTCTGTGTGTATTGGCATTTATTTTATTTTCATGAAAAATACTTTCTATTGTAGTTTGTTCTAAATCAAAAAACAAACAAACAAAAACAATGTACTATAATGCAGTAAAGACAGGAATATGATGTCATTTATTGAATAGCTGGTGATTAATTATGAAATCCAGAGCTTTCATAGATGGGTTATGATCTATATTTGCTCACAGATATTTCAGTAATTGTTATCTAATCTCTAGTTATATACTCACAACCTGCACTTAGGTCAGTATAGAAAACTAGGCTCCTTAGTTATTAAAACATTTTAATTAATAATCCAAGTAATATATTTGAATGTAAAGCCAGTAGTGCCATATCCAGCATTAAAGTATGTATTCCTATGACTGTACACCAGGGAATTTATCTACTGATTGCCAGGTAATAATGAGGCAATGGCTGGGCTATTTATGGCTGGGCTATAATGAGGCAATTTATTGACTAATAGACCTGAAACATCATCAAAATGTGAAGATATAGAACAACTCAAGAATCCCATGCCTTGACATTAAATATATGCAAGTGTAATGGCTAATCTATCATGCTGAAGTTTTCCTGTTTTCCTTTCTAACTGTACATAGATATTTTCTTGCAGTGTGACACCTAAGGAACTGTGACTCTGAAATTAAATTTAGAACCTCTCCAACTTTAACCCTGTCATGATATTCTACAAAGCAGGCTAGGAATCCTCAAAGAAATATCATGAAAATATTCTTCACAAACCAAAATATGTTCATATAAAACATTATTAAAAAAAATAAATAAAAAATAAAAAATAAAAGTTGATGTATTACTGGGAAAAGTGAAAAGCAGATATTCTCATTTCTAGTTTTTTCCTAAACATTCTTTTATCAGTAGAAATATTTTGTTTAAAATAAGAGCTTTCTATATATAATGTTTAAGTGGAAAGGAGGTGAAGCTGATTTCTGAACCTGATGAAGTAAAGGTTGTTTTGTTTTTGCTGCATAGTATGTCCTGGGACAGACCATCATCCAGAACACAGACCTTTTATTAACAACTCAAATGTTCTACTATGGAAGACAAAAACATCATTTTAAACCAAAGGGACACCTGCTGCAATGTGGTATCTGTAGCATATCAACACAGAACTTGGAGTTCTGCTGGAAGTTTTTACAGGCAAAAATTTTCCATAATGATGTCAAATAGCATGATGTGAAGTGTAGCAGAAGAATGATATATTTTCCAAATCCTTCTAAACCATCTTTTTCTGTTAACAATAATTTCCCTTTTTACATGCAATGATATTTCTTCTTGTAAGGCAGAATTTCAAAAGCACCTTTCCTGTGAGTAATTTCCCACAGTTTATAGTTCCTAAAAAAAAATTAAAAAAATAAAAAAATAAAAATATTTTAAAAAGAGAGAAATGAAACAGAAAACAATACAGCCATATTTTTTTTACTTTATTCAAGGTTTGCCTTTTCTTGTATGTTTCTTAAAAAGGTTACAAGACATTATGAATTAATGAGAAAATGAGCATCTGAAGAATGAGACACATCAAACTAAAGGATATAGGTCAAATGTGTTGGGTTGCTTTGCATGACTTCTTACTCATCTACTCATTTGTACATTAGCACTGGTCATTCAACATTAAGTCATGTACATGAATGACTTCACAGTAAGCAGGCTAACTTTTTAAGTGAAGCAATAGATGAATGAATCTGAAAGATTTCATGGCCAAACAGTAAGCTTCTCAGTTTCAGTAGGCTAAGCTCCTCAGTTCCAGTAGACTGAAGGTGTATGCTGAGATGCCCTAGAGAAGACTGCAACAGCTTGATAGCATGCATAGGAACCCAAAATCATGTAAAATGGCCTGACCACATTTTGACTTCTGTAAACCGTATTTCAAGATGTCTTTGCATCTGCAGTATGTTCAGACAGATTTATGCTGCTGAGAACACAACTGGCGGTAGAGGAGAACAACATCAAGAATAAATTTGAAATGTTTTTCAGTTTTCTGGTTCCAAGTTCCATTGGTCCCTGAACTGTATCCACATTTCCTGAAGCCATTTTTCTGTACTGATAGGTCAAGTTGACATTCAAGATGACATTCAAACAGTACAAGCTCTTCAGCTGCAAGTAAAATAGAGGTCCTTCAAAGGAAAAATAAATAAATAAATGAAATGATAACAATGCAAACAGGGAATACAGCAGATCACGTCAGATAGTGTGGTCAGTTAATCCCAACTAGTACCTGAGCACACACCAGATCCTTGCTCACTCCTCTCATCAGCGGGATGGAGAATAGGAAAGGTTAAATTGAGAAAAACTTGTGGACCAAGATAAAAACAGTTAAACAAGTGAAGAAAACCAAACCAAACCAAGCCAAAACAACAACAACAACAAAGTGATGCAAAGGTAATCACCCTCCATCTTCCACCAGCAGACTGATGCCTGATGAGTCCCCAAGCCATAGTTACTTTGGAAAAACTCCCCCCTCCATTTTTTATTGCTGAGCACAGCATCAGAAGGCATGGAATATCTCTTTGGTCAGTTTGGGTCAGTTGTTCCAGATGTGTCCCCTCCCAGTTTCTTGCCCACCCCCAGACTCCTCACTTGTAGGGCACTTGTAGAGAAGGCCTTCAGGCTGTGCAAGCACTGTTCAGACATGGCTAACACATTGGTGTGTCACCAATTTGTGTCTTAGCCACAAATCTGAAGCACAGAATCACACAGTTTGCTACAAAGAGCATTAGCTCCATCCCAGCCAAACCAATCTGAACAGGAAGAACAGGCCAGACCACAAGATATCAAAAGAACACATACTTCCTCTGCGTGGTTTAGTAACTTTTCTAGAGTTTAACATAATTCACAAGCTGACAACCCATCATGAAAACAAATCTCTTTCTTTGGTCCATTCTCTTTGTATCATGTCTTTCACAGTCCTCTTCATGGTTTCTCTTTTATAGCCATGGGAAGAACAAGACTACCAGAAGAAATCTTTTCATGGTGGCTTGTATCAGAAACAGTGTGACCAGCAGGGCTAGGGAGGTGATCGTCCCCCTGTACTCGGCTCTGGTGAGGCCGCACCTTGAGTACTGTGTTCAGTTTTGGGCCCCTCGCTACAAGAAGGACATCAAGGTGCTTGAGCGGGTCCAAAGAAGGGCGACGAAGCTGGTGAGGGGCCTGGAGAACAAGTCCTACGAGGAGCGGCTGAGGGAGCTGGGCTTGTTCAGCCTGGAGAAGAGGAGGCTCAGGGGCGACCTTATCGCTCTCTACAGATACCTTAAAGGAGGCTGTAGAGAGGTGGGGGTTGGCCTGTTCTCCCACGTGCCTGGTGACAGGACGAGGGGGAATGGGCTAAAGTTGCGCCAAGGGAATTTTAGGTTAGATGTTAGGAAGTACTTCTTTACTGAAAGGGTTGTGAGGCATTGGAACAGGCTGCCCAGGGAGGCGGTGGAGTCACCATCCCTGGAAGTCTTCAAAAGACGTTTAGATGTAGAGCTTAGGGATATGGTTTAGTGGGGACTGTTAGTGTTAGGTTAGAGGTTGGACTCGATGATCTTGAGGTCTCTTCCAACCTAGAAATTCTGTGATTCTGTGATTCTGTGATTCTGTGATTCTGTATATATTCATATGTGATTACTTATAAGACCCTCTTCTTATACTGGTACAACCTGCCGTCAGGTTCTCTCTTCCTCATGTTCAAAAGTAGAGTTCAAGTTGACAACAGAAATAATCATGATTAATATTTCTTTTTTATGAGAGAATGCATACTGTGGTTGATGTAATCTCTGATGTGTACACTGTTAGGGGAAGGATCATGGATTTGTTACTGTCAGTTGCCCAGGTTTGCTCAGACAGTTCTGGTGAAATACTTGTCATCACCAGGAGCAGCTATCATTAGCCAGTTTGATTCCTTGACTCTTAAGAGATCTCTACCCGTGGTAGCTCTCTGGTGGCATCACTTTTTGGCTATGAGTATGGTATGTATTTCACTCTACAAGTCAGGTATACACAGACATTCCATGTCAACATTTCCTCTGGCACAAATTTCAGAATTACAGATTTGGTCACCACATTGACTCTTCCACATTTCAAGTTTCATGCTGGAAGTCTCCAACAAATTCTCTCCCTACACTCCCTAAAGCAGAGTTTTTTCTTATTTTGGCAATAATTCATATGGCAGGTAAAAACACTTTTTGACTTTAAAAGCAAGCAACAGAGTGGCAGTGTGTAATTCCTTCTTCATTGGGCTGATGAATATTTAATAGCTAGTAATAATCTTACCTAAAACTGAAGCATGGGCAGAAAAAAAAATGATTTGCTTTGAAGGCAAGCTCATGAGGAGAATCCCGGATTGCAAAAGATTCCGAGAGAATCATCCGGACATCCAGAGTCGTATCCCAAATAAAATATATTAGTGAGATCACTGTGTTCTTCTTAGTAACATTATCTTAATTCTCACAATTCTCACTTAGAAAATAATAATAATAACATCCCTCCCCTTCAAATTCCTATGGGAATATATCATATTTCTTCTCACTCACAGTGTAGCTAAATCATGGCGAAGCCAAAAGTACAGAGCTATCCATCCCTTGTACTTTAATGAGGGCAGGAGGTTTCTCCTGGTAGATCAATTTGCCTTCAGGGCATGATAGTAAATTTGGTATTTTCAGTTGCTAATTGCTGCTATGAACATTCCCTTTAAAAGTGATTCACAGCACAGTCCACATAATTGCCATCTCCTGTTCTAAAAAAGTATCAGTCATATGGGGATTAAAAGCTTGGAAAGTCTGGGGATTGTTGTGTTTAGGCTAAACTTTTCTAGTTGCTGTCTTTTCAAATTAACCACCGTTGGCCCTTCCTGAAACATGCTGGAGCCATCCCACTTTAGGAATCCCAATTTGCCTTCAGAAGTTACCCACAGAGGGGATGAACATGTTTGTGAGCTGCATAAAACCCACATTCCTCAGGACACAGGAATTCAGATGTTTCTGGATTTAAAAAGCTGTAGCCACAAGACAAAACCCTGAAGTGTGGCAGGCTCCTCTTTCAGCAGTATCAAGTACATTTCTCTACAGATCAGGAACAAATATATCATAATTACAAATGTCTGCTTTTGAGAGCACTCCCTCCTGAACAACTCAGGGTTCTTCCCTATGATGTGCTGCAGGTCCACACTCAGAGCTTTACTCTGCTTCTCAGACCTCACTTCTGAATCTGTTCTGTTTTTCTCCTTCCCATTTCATCTAACAAAGTCTGCCTTTTCAAAATACAAGGGGAACAATTAGAATTTGAAAATGCTAAGAGTGCCATAACCCCTTCTAGACAAAGGTCATCATATCAAGGCTTGCAACCTTACCCTTAACATGCTGCTATAAAAAGACCAGTTAAAATCAAACTTCTCCTATCACTATTGGCTTCTGTATGACCGAAGAAAGAAAGAACTTCCTCCTGAGGAAGCAGAGGAGGGTAGTTACAAGCCCATTACAGCAGAGAACTTTTCAACAGCAACAAAGGAAAAAAAAAGACGTGGGAATAAGAATGTCAGAAAATCTCATCTATGCTGACTTGAACTTGACTGAATCAAACAGGTCTAGGCTACAGAAGGACATCAACGTCCAAGGTAGGTCAATCTGTCTGCACTGAGCTTTGTTTTATTCAACCTCCCTCACTTTCATTTTGAAAGAGAGTAGCACCAAAGCCCCAAAGGGGGTGATGGAAATATAGAGGGCAAAGCTGTGGAAAATTTACAGGTGGGGTCAATTTTTAGTTTATTTTTTTTTTTAACCTGAATAAAGGAAATTGTTATAAGGTCTACTTCTCATTTTTTTGTTATAAGGTCTACTTTTCATTTGTCAAGGTGCAAATATGAAGGGGAGTTTCTTGTGTGGTATTAAGAGGTCCAATTTAAGAAATTACTCCACAGCTGAATGTTACTCGATCCTGAACGAGGTCTGTTCTTATGTAGCATGCTCTGATTCTTACAGCAAACTGATCAGAGGGTTGAGTTCCTAATGTTTCCACTGTTTGAAGCAGTCTCATGCATAGTACAATGCTTCTTGCTGAGCATAGCAAGCATTGTTGTTTTTTTTTGTTTGTTTTGTTTTGTTTTGTTTTGTTTTTCCTTCCTGGTCTTGCCAGTACATGCTGCTTATTTAATAAAATAAGCATAAAATATTTCATGAACAGATTTGGTTTGATTTAGTACAATGATCTTGCAAAATTCTTACCTAAATCTTATCTTAGCAGTAAGAATTATTATGTAAATTTTTGCACTGTTTTTGCTACATCTGCATAATATTACATCCTAAAATTATAGACATTTTAGACTTCATCTCCATATTCCTTCCTTCCTTCCTTCCTTCCTTCCTTCCTTCCTTCCTTCCTTTCTTTTCTTTCTTTTTTCCTCTTTCTCTGTTTGACATTACTATCTCTTGGACAGGAATAGTAATACCTATTTCTTGCCATCCTGCACCTGAATTTTGCATAAATTGTGATCCCTTGGCATCTATTTTTAGGTGGCTGGAGTGTCTAATGCTCCAAGAAACAGTGTTCCCATCACCTCTTTCAAATGATTAACTCACAGCTAGATTGACATACAACCACAATAGAAGACACTTGATTGAAAGTTCCATTTTACTTACAATTTAACGCATGTTCTCCCACTTACAGCTTTTACACAGTTTAAATAGCATTTTTATATTTCTTTCTGGAAATCCCCTATGAACTATTTTCCTGTAAATGTTCATTTAATTTATGCACTGTATCTCCCAGTAAGTATAAATATCTTACACAAAGAAGCTTAGAAAATGTCTTCTCTATTCTTTTCCCTCTGGTTTGCTATTTTTGCTATGACAGCAGATTTCCTGGGATCAAATGCATTAATCTCAAAGGAATGAAATTAATTCTATAAGCAGAAGAATGCACTTACAATCATAGAAGATATTAATTCTGTATGGTGATATAAACAGTGGAGCTCAGTGCTGCATGTCAGGATGATTTTGAATATTTTATAAAATTTCAACATCATATTTGTTCTTTTCTACCTTATTTTTACACTTTCCTACCCTTCCTTCCTTCCCCACCTGCCTTCTTCCATTTATTATCTGCAGATGTTGGAGTAGTTCTCAGCTTTTCCTCACCATCTCGTTATTAAATGACCCCTTCCAATTCTGTACGAACTGTAGCTTTCAGGTCTGGTTCCTTATCGTAACCACTCTCACCACTCATGTTTGTATGTAAATTGGGTAAGACAGTCAGAGACCTTAGACCTTTTTTTCCACTTCTGTTTAGATTTAAAGCGTGTGTTCATGTTTCCTCTGTTACTGTCCACACTGAACTGATGATAAAACAGATCTTTTTTCTGCTTATAAAAAGTCCTTTATTGTTTGAATGCAATGGGCAAACATATTACTGTGTCACAGTTAAACACTGTCACATGAATTGCATCAGTTGCTGCCATGTGTTTATCATTTCTCATAATTGCAGTTATTTTTATTACATTTAATTTTTTTCTCTTCTTTTTCTGTTCCCCATTATTTTTGCCTGCTTTTAGATTCTACATACGCAGAACTGAATGTGCAATCCCTAGACACAAGTATTATAGCTAGCTGTGCATCATCTGGTGAGTTTTCAGCTGTCTGTTAAACTCATATGAATTTAAACAATGTGAAGAGGGTAGTCCATTCCTTGTTTTCAAGAAATGAAGTGATATAAAACCACATGGAGACAGGAACATACACTTGACTGCTTTATGTAGCCAAAGTATGGAGCAGCTGATGTGTTGTATTCTATGAAACTAAACATTTGTTGGATTCACTGGCATAGGAACACAAGATTTATGGGCAGTATCAAGAAATCACATTGCCCAACCTCTATCTGCAATGGCAAAAGTGTACAACTACTGACGAGTAAGAGGGTAGGCATATATGCTATCTTCCTGTAATAACTTTCCCAAGCATCCAGCTACTCAAGGACTTCCTGAGGCAGACTTGTTTCTATTTGCTTACCATTGGTGGATTTCTCTTTTATGAACTTGCCCAATCTCCCCTTGATTCCATACAAAGCCCTGATTTCTATAACATCCTTTGACAAGGAGATCCACAGTTCTTTTAGATATGCAATGATGAACCAGCTGCTTTTGTCTATCCTGAGCTAGCCTACTATTACTGTATTACTACAGTAAGCAGCTAAACCCAATCCAAGGTCTCCATGATATTCAGGATTTTATAGTGGGTACCATATTACAGTACCCATTAGGTTCCCTGGTACAGTCTCAGAACAAAAGAAAACACTTTACACTGAGGGTGGTCAAACAGTGGAACAGGTTTCCCAGAGAGAGATCGTGGAGTCTCCATCTGTGGCGATAGTCAAAACCTGACCTCACAGTCCTGAGCAAGCTGCTCTACTTGAACCTGCTTGAGCAAGGGAGTTAAAGTAGGTGATCTGAAAAGGTCATTTCCAATTTAAATGATTCTGTTATTGTGTGATCAGCTGAAGTTCACAGATCGACTCTATTTATTTATTTATTTATTTGTGGGTTTGGCTCACATTAGATGTGTTGCCTTCTAATTCCTGGGTGCAAAGATAGTTTTAAGAGAGGGATTACAAAACTGCATTAGTAATCCAGCTGTCTCACACCTAGCTTGTCTTGGGATTTTTTTACTGCACCCATTTGTGTATTTGGGCCATATTAAAGAAACTCTTCACACAAAACTGTCCTGAAATGGGAGATCCACCCAGTTATTATTCAGTCAACCCTGATGAAAAGGATTAATTTAGCTTCTCTGCTATAGCCTTATCGTCTGAATACTTCATGGATACCATACAATCCACTGGCCTACAAAGCTCCAAAAAGTTACCTTCTCTCATTGTGTTTAAAGACAGGTTGAGTGGCAATTATGATGGTTTTAGCTTCTCAAGTTCCTAGCTGTCTAATTATTTTTATATATGATTTTTATCTTCCCACCATTTATGATACTTTCTATTTCTTTAATTTGGTGTTTAGAGCTTTGTAAATTTGATGTTTACAGCTTTGTAAAGTTTACCATCTGTTTCTAATAGCCTTGTCTGCTTCCTTTTATCTGTTCCCAGATCATTCTTAGTAAGTGGCTTATATTGTCCACATGCTGCCAGGATTTTATCCTTTAATAATATATGCTCTGCCTGTATAAATTTTATTATCTTCTTGCAGTACTTTTCAACTTCCTTTTTATAAGTGCCCTCTCCTCTATGTAGTTCTCCTCTTTTATCCATTAACACTCTATTTTCCCTTTTGTAGTCTAGTACTATGCTGTCCCTTTTCCTTCTATGCACTTTCCCATATACATACTGGGGTGCTCTTCGGTTAACAAACTGCAAGTGTCGAGAACCACCTGGGAAGTATTAGCACATTCTGTCTGCATTCAGTAGGCAGATCTAGAAGACCACAGATCTCATGTAAGGTTTGTAACATCTTCCAGATATGTACAGTTATCTGATATTTGAGGCCATCTTGCATGACACAAAGCACAGATTCTTTGGTGATTGGGTGTCTTAGTCTAGGGCTGGACATTTTAGATCTTCTCATCTTATTTCTTAGGCTTCTAGTATATAGAATCATAGAATCACTTGAGCTGGAAAAGAATTCTAAGATAATCAAGTCTAGCTGTGACTCGGGCATTCGGTTTAAATTTCACTGAAGTGCCTATGAGTATAAGGACTGATCTACATGCTGAGCCAGAGCTCAAGGGATTCCTAAAAGGAAAAACAAACAAATAAAACCAGCTGTCAGCTTTAAAAAAAGTCCGCATGAAAGATCAACCACAACAAAAAGATCATGGGATATAGCAGAAAATGAACTACCAAGTTTACAACTCACCCGCTTTGCCCAGCAGGAACAATTAGAAACAGAGGTGATTTACAGTGAGGTACAGCCAAATCTGCCTGGGCACACGCCCGTTCCAATAGCTCCCATAGTAGTAATTGACCAATTTATCCACTTCTGGCATCCAAAACTGCTTCTGCATCTTCAGTTTGGCCTCTGAATTTACCTGGATCCATTTCACTCCGGGGTTGCTGATTCTCTTTCAAAGACTGTTTTAAAAGCAGTTTAGTTTAATACTGTATTAAATATGACAGCTTTTTAATACTTTACTAATTCAACTAGTAATGAATATGCACGTGTGAAAATGAGGTTATCAGACAAAACAGACCGAGTATTGACTGCAGTTAGGGTGAAGACTTGGTTGGTCTCCTCCTTTACATAAAGCTATTTACTTTAAAGATCTAGGGATGATATAAGGAATAACCTACATTTGTTCTACAGTTCCCAGTGGTCAAACGGACATCACAAACTTCAAAGACAGCAGAAGTGGTGAGTAAAATACTCTAGCAGATACGTGAAGGTCGAAGTGATGGAAAGCTCTCCTTTACCCTTTAATTCAGTGTCTGCTGAGTTCACACAGCTTCCAAACATATCATTTGACTCTCTTGAAGCTGCCTGTGCTCTGCAGTACCCACTGAGTTGGCAGAGTAATGACTGATGCAAGGATCTCCTTGAAGTGAATCCAAAAGCAAAAATACATAAACAACTGTCAAAACATAAAGATGAGACACTTCAACACTTCTGAAAAAAGATGATATGGCAGGACATTTGTTGGTAGGCTGATTGGGTTTTCCTTCACTAATATTTTGAGAGGGCAGGTAAGGATGCCAAAGAGCACTGAACTCTAGCATCAGGTACAGCAGAATTTAACATAGTATTCTAGGCAGTATCAGAAGTGTTCAGTTGAATACCTATGATAGGAAAGGAAAAAAAACAAAAACAACAGGTATGCACAAGAAGAACAAACATCAGAGGGAAAAACTTTGACTAACTTGAAAGGGCTGTCTCAATATGAGCCTGGAAAGGACATTTTTGAATGACGATGAAAGGTCCTACCACTGCTGTTTTCCTAATCCTTATTTTTTCTCTCTGTAGGTAAAAACTGTTGTTCCAGAACACGTATTGGAATATTGATTGCTGTGATAATCCTCCTACTGGTCATAGGGGTGGGGCTGACACTCCTGTGTAAGTTCAGCTAAAAATATAACTACAATTTTTTTGTGGCTCACCCAAAGAATAACATCTAAATCATGATGAGTAAAACCAGTAGAAGCAGAAGGCTAGTTTGATGGTTTGAGACAGTAATTGTTGACAAACCATGGTCATAAGAGAAGTCTGTAAAGGAGTTGAATGGTTTTCCATTCTATGTTTCCAAAAGAAAAATTCCAAAAGAAAAAAAATCTGAAGCACAATCATCAAAACATACAATTTTAAACAGTAAATCAAATCAAATCAAATTAAACAAATAAATCAAAAAATACAAATTAATAATAAATCAAATAAATACAAATTAATCTAATAAATAAAATAAATACAAAAAATGTTGAAAAAAAAAGAAAGTAAAAATGAAATAATAATGATATTATGGTGGTTACCCATGAGAATATTTCAGAGATAATCTTGTATAACATCACTAGGATGTCTATAACACCAGAAATCTTTAACTGAATATGAATGAAAGTACATTTGAAAGAGGTTCCTGAGTTTTAGGGAATTTAAAGGAATTTGTTTGCACTTTACATAATATAAATGCCACTCCACTTCTTTTCTCTCATCTTATTTTTGAGTTTACTGCTGGAAAATGAAGTTCTTTCTTTTAATATTTTGTTTCTTTTACTGTTTGTCTCAGATGTGAAACCTGCATATCATGCTGAACCATGAACAGTGTGAACTATGCTGTTCTGCTACGAGTTTGTCAGAACTCTCTTGAATCCAATCTTTTTTCTCATTTTATTATTTTATTTTAGTTTAGTTTAGTTTAGTTTAGTTTGTCTGTTTTCAATGAATTTATTGATTCTGGTTTCAAGTATAATAATTCTACCACTATAATCTATATAGTCTATAGTTTCTTTACTGTGATTATTAATACATTTTTTGTCCAACTCCAAATAACCTCAAAGATGCCTTTTTAAACTTTGTTAACAACACGTTCTTGTTCTTTGCATCCCTCACCAAGTTTAGTTCTGTCAGCCTTGACTTTCCTGATCCCATCCCTGCACATCCAGACAGCATTTCTGTGCTCTTCCTAGGGTATGTGGCCCTATTTCCACTGTCTGTGCACTTTCTTTTTTTGTCTAAGTTTGGCCAGCAGGTTCTTGTTCAACCATGCTGTTTTCCTACTTGCTTGATATATTGCATATGGAAATAGAGAGCTCTTGCTCTCTAAGGAAAATATCCTAAAATAGTTGCCAGCTCTGATCAGATCCCCTGTCCCTAAGGACCATGTCCTATGGGATCTCAGCCACTAATTCTGTGAAAATAAGGTTATATGAGCTTGGGCATCTGCTTTAAAACCTACAGTGAAGACTGTTGTCTCATTGTGGTCTCAGGGTGCAACACTCTTTGGAAATCTGCTCCACAGTATAGTACTACCATTTTTTTTCAGTGGAGGAGGAAATAGGGGAGGCGTAGATATTCCTTGTGGAATGATAGTGAGGATCAAAAAGGCCTAGAAGAGCTTTGACACTCTGTGGCAAAATGGTCAGTTATTTAAAACAGAAATTATTGTCATCTTATTCCCAGACCATCCAACCACAAGAAGCTCACAGGACAGAGAAACATTCTCCATAACCTATGATAAGGCACAAGGTAGGTAATCATCCATGGTTCAAAAGGTAGTTTCCAGGTACCTGTTGGATTGCCTTTTAGGAGGGGTTCTTGGTTCTGTTCAGACGAAAAATGATAAAAATAATAAAATAATAAAAGTACTAATCTGACCAAAAAAAAAGAAAAAAAAAATAACTCAGAGAATATGCTCTCAAGTCCAAACAGCAATATTTTCATCTTTGAAAGTATGCTTGCTCAACACTACATTATTGTTTCAGAGGGAGGAAGAACTGATTTACTCCCTTCATGCTAGTGCAGAGGAGCCTGTTGTCTAGATGAATGCACATTGATATAATGGTCCTTTTGGTATCACAGCATAGTAGTGAGCATGCTGGATCAATGTGTATGTATTGCTTTCAAACACCCCTTCGTTCTTAGCCTTTTAATTAAGTGCAATTTCTTTTTGATGTTTAAGGGCTGCTGAGTAACCAACAAAACTCTATTACACAGTCTCTGTCTCATTGAATTGTATCACCCTTTCCAAGTCTCATTCTCTGTCCTTCTGCTCCTAGCAACAGGGAGAAATATTCTTTCTTTCAGTAGCATCACTTTTGCCATATATTGAAACAGGCAAATAAGAGGTTTGAAAACCAAAAGCTGCTTTTTGCCTCAACCTTTTTTCTTTACTTCCTGAGGAAAGTTTTAAAAGACTGGATAATGTTGTCCATGATCCTACTTCTCTGACTCATGCATAGAGACTAATGAGCTTGTACTAGCTACAGAGATTGGCAGGGATCCCTGGAGGCTTGATGAAAATTATGAACAGAACCACAAGGGTACTTTTCTGGCTGTAATTTCCTTTTTTTTTTTTTTTTTTTTTTTAATGGGATCATTTTATTTGTTTGAACATGGAATTTTCCACATTTTTCCCTCCTATAGATTGCCCCCAACATTGGAAAAGAAATGGGGAAAAATGCTACTTCTTTTCTCGAACTACAGAAAGAAAAAACTGGACAGCTTTCCATGATGAATGTACTGGCATGCATTCAGAACTGGTGACCATTGACAACAAGAAAGAACTGGTGAGATCTAAATCCATGGATCTGAAACCCTGCTTCTAGGGTTGTTTGACCTGTATGCCAAAGATCTCGTGGGCTACTGGTGTCTTCTTATGTTACATGTCTCTGGGGACCTATAAACACTCACATACTCCAAGCACCTCTGTAAGGTAGAAAAAGCCATCACAGTAAGATGTATTTTGGCATCTTACCCTCTTAAAGTCTTGCATCTAAAGCTTCTCTCCTCAAACATGTTCCCATGGGAAGGAACAAATTCTCTTCCTACATGATGTATGCCTTAATGGGATTTAGCACACAAACCAAGACCAAATGAGTCAAACAGACATTTTTGGTCAGAGAAAAACCTTCCCATCACAGTCAGAACAGAAAAATGTCTTCAGGTATTAAGTCACAGTTTTAATAGTATCAGGAGTTTATTATTTTATTTAGTCTGTTCCTAAGAAGCCTCAGGAAGAGGGATGAGATTAAATAAGAATGAAATAATTCAGCCTCTGAAGCTGCAGAAAGAGATAGTGTAGCTAGATCCATATCGTTCTTTCTATGTTGGCTATTTAGTACTAAAATTTCTGTGCACTTCTGGTGAAGAAAATGTAATTTGGAAGTATTAGCATTGTGGTTTTTTTCCTTTCTAGGATTACCTTATTTCACAATCAATGAGTGATTACTACTTACTTGGTCTCCGGTACAATGAAAGCAAGAAGAAGTGGGAGTGGATTAACGGCAAAGAACACAGCACAGACATGTAAGCTTATTCCAGCAAATCACTGTGATGAATGTCTAGAAACTGTCACAAATGCTCCAGGGCCCACACAGTGTGCAAGCAGAAGTGGGGTTTTGAAGCATACTGATTCCTTGAGATTCTGGTGCTACAGTACATCCTAATGACAATTCAAAGGGAGTCAATGGCTGAATCAGTCATGTCAGATCAGGACGGCAATACAGGGCACAGCTATAGTTCTGCTGGCAAAGGAGGTATCTGACTAAATGGAGTTCAGTGAAGGGAGGAAGGATACACCAGGCAGATATAAAAGGGACTGTGATCTTAGCATCATTGAATGGAGCATACTGAAGAAGAGAAAGGTCTCTTCATGGGAAAGCATAGTCCATATACTTCTATTGAGGATGGGTGGAAAAAAAAATAAGGAGCTGGGAGGGAGACTCTCCAATGAGGCAGTCTTCTTTACTACTGACAAAGACATAGGCTGCAAGGCAAGGTGACACACTGTCTTTCATGTAAATGATACTATTCACTGCTATTGCATCTAACTGAGTCAGGAATGAAACTAAATCTAACTTTCTCTCCCTGTTCAGATTTAATATAACAGGACCTCATGACTACTTCTGCACTGTTGTTGGCTTTGGCGAAGTGTCAACTGCACCTTGCTGTGAAACCTCAACAACAAAAAATATGTGTGAAAAAGGTGCAAGTATTTCAGAAAAGGCAGAAGAGGAGCAACAAACAACAGATTCAAGTAGGAACCTCACTCCCAGCTTTGTGTAGGAACAGCAGATGGAATTTGTCTCATTTTATCTGCTTAAATATCTAATCAAAGGAATCTCTCATCCTTCTGTCTAGACACCTTGCCAAGCTTAGAACATTCTTTGCTAAAACAAGTGTCAAAGACTGGATGGATGAGCCTCTGGAAGAGCCTTAATTTTTACACATTAGGAACCTGGATGACTTGCTAACATCATATGCCTGACTTTTAGGGAACTACTGTGTGGTGATGAGTCCTGCCTTGGTGAGAGGTGTGATAACGTGCAGATCCTGTTTCTCATAGACACATGCATATACACTTAATACATCCACAGTCCTCCTTGTCCATAAGGAGGCGCTTTGAATCATTGCCATGCACTAGCATTTCCTGCAGCTGCAAGTGAAGCTTAAGATGTATTTATATTTTGGATCCTGTAGACAAGTGCACAGTTTACTCAGGAAAATGGAGAAATATATACATGAAGGTTTTTCTGGCACTGACATGTCAGAGTCAATACAAGAAAGAGGAGGTACTAGTGGAGCAGAGACATGACCAGCAAATGGTGAATGCTACCAGAGCTCTTCCAATGTCTTTCATTTGTTCTTGGGACTCTGGTGCTTTTGTGACTCTAAGGATTGTCATTTTTACCATCTCCTTTGAGGCAGAAACGTTCCTACTTCAAATTGTGTCAAAGTCAATTCATGGCTCTCTCCAGCATCTGCAGGATGAAGAAAGAGAGAAAGATTTATGAATTCTTTGATGAAGTACAGTGATGGCATGCTTACTCATTGGAAGAAGGAGAAAAAAAAGGGGGGGGAAAAAAGGGAAGAAAAGAAAGATAAAGGGCTTTTCTTAATCAACAATTGCTATTCAAAATGTTGTGGCCAAGGCTAATGAACATAGAATCATGCAGGAAACTTTCTCTCATTCTTACTTGAATGCACATTCCGAAGTCTCTTCTTAGTGGCCTTATTCATCAAGTCTCCTTTGAAGCATATTTTTAGTTCCTTCACTAACCTTTAATCACCAAAGAACAAAGTAAGAACATAAATGTAGCACAATAATCTCAATGGCTGAAACCAGAGTCTAAACTGTTATTTCAGAGGAAGATGGGGCTGTTTGTTTGTACTCAGTTTACTGAAGGGGGTGGGAGATAGCTCTGCATTGTACTACATAGAAGTCTGAAAGAGAGCTGCCTTTTAATTTTCATATTCTAGCTTCTGTCCTTTAATTGGGTGGGCTCTGATGAAGGGGGTAGGAGATATATCACTTCCCTAAGAGCCACTGGACCTAAAGTAAGTTCGGAGGCTTCAGAAAGTGGCAGAACTACATATCAGAGCTACATATCAGAGGTGAAAGAAACGAGGAAGTGGCCCTAAGGTCACTGTGGGACTACATGAATTCCTTCAAATCCAGAAAGTCACAGGAGTAAGAAGAGAACACTGTTTATAAAGAAATATCTAACAAGTGAGGAAGTTTGATTTAAACTGGTTTATTTACTCAGCCTCAGTGCTTCCTTTGCTCACAAGTCTATCTTTCTCTGGATTTGTTATCTTACATTTTAAATAAACCTGAAGTTTACAGTTTGAGAGACTTTGATTAGCTTTTGGCATGTCCACCACAAGGAAAAGGTGAAGTAACTCACACCAACTCAGCCTTGGTCATGGTCTCATCCTGATGCCAAGGGCAGGGGAATCCCACACCAATCCAAACCTAACCTCTCATAACTTCAGTGGCAGGTGACAGCAGACAACTACAAGGTTGGTTTTAATTCTTTCTGTGGTTGGGCAATGGGTCAACTGTCATTTGGCTAGGTCAGGCTCCGGGGTGCTTCACTCAATGACCATTATCAAGAAGAACCTGGGACTGAGAACTTAGTAGATGAGGAAAAGGCAGAGGATGTTTTTGATATGGATTTTAGTAAAACATTTGACACTGTGTCCCACAGTATTCTCCTGGAGACTCTGTCTGCTCATGGCTTGGACAGGTGTACAGTTCACTGGGTGAAGAACTGTCTGAGTAACTGGGCTCAGAGAGTCTTAGTGAACGGGGTTCAATCCAGCTGGCACCCAGTCACCAGTGACATTCCCCAGGGCTTGGCCTTAGGGATGTAAGGAATGTTCCAGCAATTCGTGTCAATAGAGGGCTTGAAGGGTAAACCTTGAGTCTCTGATATCTGGGGGGTTTCAGAATAACTGCTAACTATTGTGACTATTGCATGGGACACTACGCAATATCTCTGATATCCAGCCAAGAGATTAAGGAGAAGGGGAAAGCTGACGGATGACTAAAAGACAAAGCTTGCATGGGACGCTGCACAAGTCTCTGATATCTGGCCAAGATGGACAAAGGAGAAGGACAAGGACAAAGCCTGGGAGGACGACTACGAGCCTTCAGCACAAGAGACCCCCAGAGGGACCACCGGAGACTGATACGCATGCACCAGTGGGAGGGCTCAGATTCCGGGAACTAATTATAATAACCCTGCCTTTTCTAGAAGTAGTAATGAGTATGTATTAGCCTAGGAGCATAAAAACAGGCCGCCTGATGTAACGTGTGTGTGTATAGGAGGAGCCCAGACTCCCTGCACACACAGCACTGTTTACTTCCCTTCTATTGACCCCATAAATAAATCTTATAAAGCTAAATTGACTCAGAATTTATAACAGGGACAGTTTTGTATATAATTTTTATCAGTGATCCGTGTGAGGGGTTTGAATGCACCCTCAGTAAGTTTGCAGACAATACCAAATTTGGCAGGAGTGTTGATCTGTTTGAGGGCAGGAAGACTCTGCAGAGGGATCTGGATAGGCTAGATCAATGGGCTGTGTCCAATTGAATGGCATTCAACAAGGCTAAGTGCCAGGTCCTGAACATGAACAAGCAGAGTGCTCAGGTGGCCAAGAAGGCATATGGTATCTTGGCCTGCATCATAAATAGTGTGGCCAGCAGGACTAGGTTAGTATTTGTCCCCTTGTACACAGCATTAATGAGACTGCACCTCAAACATGGTGTTCAGTTTTGGGCCCCTCACAACAAGAGGCATACAGAGTTTCTAGAGTGTGTGCAGAAGGGAGCAATGAAGCTGGTGAAAGCATTGGAAAACAAGAGCTTTGAGGAGCGGCTGAGGAAACTGGGGTTGTTTAGTCTGGAGAAAAGGAGAGATCCCATGACTCTTTACAATTGCCTGAAAGGAGATTGTAGCAAGGTGGGTGTTGGCCTCTTTTCTCAGGTGACAAGTGATAGAACCTGAGGAAATGGCCTCAAGTGCATAAGGGGAGGTTTAGATTGGACATCAGGAAGAATTTCTTGATTCTATGACTCAAGAGGTATTCTTCAGGGTTTGTCCTATATTCATAGACCTATATCCAAGTGTGCTTCAAGAAAAATCTCTTCAGCTATATTGGCTCTGATGAAGGGCAACGTGAACCCAAGGTAATCCCAATTGAAAAAGTGGCCCTTTTGAAAAGGAAAGCATGCTCTTGAGTAAAAGCACTACACTCATGACTTAGCCAAAACTATGAGGAAGGAGATGACACTCAAAGCACAAAACCAAAGCATATCACATTCTGGACAGTAGCTATGTAGACATGAAAAGCAGTACAATTTAGAGAAAGGACAAAGACGTCTTCCTGATGTCCTGAAGTCTTCTTAAAGCTGAAGTCTACCACAAAGATGCATCCTAGGCATCTCCTTTGTCAGAAGGCCCATTCTTTGCAGCCCTGTTTGTAGCATCGTATTCACAGCTGAGCCAACAAAAGACAGTGTTTTTTTGGTTTAGGATAGCTTTCACACAAATGCACGGCAGCTTTAAAATTAAAATGCCCTTTTCTTGCACCAAATTGTCCTATTCTTGCAACAGTAATATTCCCTACAGTCTGTGCTAAGACCATACGCTATTTACATTGCAGTCACATATTGTTATAATATTCCACAAACTGAAAGAAATTAAATCAGGAAATACTAGATTTCCCAACCACCATGTCTTGGGGGAGAAAGAGACAAGAACATCTTTACCTAAGAGACTATCTGGCAAGTCTAAACTACAAGAGATGCACAGCAAAGTGGTCTTTGGTCGATTAACTGGGTTATTCTGCTCGTTTACTGAATGGGGCAATATTCCTCCAACCTCACTTCTCTGGCTGGTATGAGTTGTCTCTTCCACTTTTGTCTGTGACGCCACTGACATAAAAGCATGATTTCTGTGCAATTCCCCCCCATGCATGGTTTGATTTTAGATAACCTGAATGATCCCTTCATGGAAGAATCAACAAACATAAATGGCTGAGTGCATGTTGAAGAGAAAATATGTGTGTATATATGCATATGTGTAGACACATATATATACATTAACCCTCTGAAAAGTTTCCTTGTTATTATGAGGTCTGGGACAAAACATGAAGATCAAACAACCAGAAAAATAATACATGTTTAAATATATATATATATATTTTTTTTTTTCAACTGTGCAGGAATCCTCTGAGAGAATACAGTACATTTAGAGAACAGTGGAGATGGACTAAGTGTAGTTTTAAAGAAAAATATGGAGTTTTCTGGGGAAAAAAAAAAAAAGAAAAAATAGCAGTTTTTCTATACTAGACCTCAATACACCCTATTCTTTTTTTGATAAATAAAATACAAACAGTTTTTTGTAAGGGAGATGAATTCAGAAGACTGGTGAGCAGAAAAGAGTGTGTTGACCAATTCAACCTGCTGCTTAGCAACTACCAAACTTTAGATAACTTTAACATTAAAAAGGACTTTCCATCCCTGGGAAGGATATTGAAGGGATCAGGGGTGCAGGTAGTGTTCTCATCTGTCCTCCCGATGGGTGACTGGGACCCAGAAAGAAGGAGAATGGCACAGGTAAATGACTGGCTGAGGGGGTGGAGACTAGACCAAGGCTTTGGGTATTTTGATCTTGGGCAGGCCTTTGAGAAGCTGGGTATGTGGGCTGCTGATGAACTCCAACTCAGCAAGCGGGGCACAAGTGTACTGGGGAGCAAGCTCTCTGGACTTATTACCAGGGCTTTAAACTAGGTTTGATAGGGAAAGGGAGGGGAGTTAGATATGACAGGGAAGGGCTGGGGGAAGTTGTCACTACTGTTACTGTTGAAGATAGAAGGGAAAAACCTCTGAGTTGTCCCATAGGATTGTCCAAGGGCTCCTCAGAGTAGGTATTGCTCCCGATACCCCATCTGGAATCTTCATGTGTCCCTCTAGGGGTAACTACACTTGCTGCTTCCCTAAAGCGCCTGTATACCAATGCACAAAGCATGGGAAATAAACAGGAGGAGCTCAAGATCTGTGTATGGTCACAGGGCCATGGTCTCCTTGGAGAGATGAGATCATCATATGGAAACACCATATGTTTCCATTGGAGCATACCACCTGGGGGACCGACATCCCTATGTATCCCTAAGGATAATGTGGCCTTGGGGAGGAGAGCAGTGGGTGATAGCTTTAGGGGGGTATGGGAAAAAAAAGGGGGGGGATTGGTGGGCCATTTTAAATTGGCTATTGATAAATCTGCACCATGGTTCTGGAAGCTCCTATATATAGATGTTTTCTTGGCTTTGATATATTGATGGGTCTGAGTGCTGCAAACTGTTTTAGGACCTTTTACTTTCAGGCTACCCACTTTAAATGGAAACACTATTTGCAGAAAGGTATGCTTTCAGGTAAACCCAACATCACTTATGCTCATGCTGCCCTTCTGGGGAGCTGTTGCTTTCATTCCCCAGAATCAATAGAATGGGCAATAACTTTTTAACCATCCATCTATAGGCAGGAGGCCCTGCTGTATGGTGATCTAACAGAAGAACAGAAACATGTTGCATGGGTAATTGACAGATTGGCCGCATACAATACTGTGGGTGGCAAGCAGTAAACTATAACCCAAAATGGAAATAAACAGTGTTAGATACCAGTGAGGCCAATCTAGGCAGTAGGACAAACAGTATATGGTCCATTTAACATTCAGTTGTACAGAGGGACGTGTGCGTGCATACAACAACAACCAAGTTGTTTGCAAGGTGTTACTGACATGGATGGCATATTGGACACATATAACACACAGGAGTTTATCAGCATTGTAAAACCTCTGTGGGGTAAAGAACTGTGACAAGAAATATACTGCATTAGTTTGCAAAAAACAATCTGGATGTGATATGTGGATGTGCCTACAAAGTGTAATGCCTCTGGAACTGTCCACAAGGCTGTAGTAGTTTGAATAACTATAGAAGATACTATGACAAGGGCTACTCAAACACACGCAGCTTCAGGGGAGTGATGAGCAACTGCAGCCAAAGGATGGGCTGCCAAGAAGAGAGAACAAGTGTCATTACAAGCTTTGCAAGAAGCCTGTTTGAGTTGCCTTACTTGTTCCTGATTTAATCTTTTCCCTCTGTTAAAGGCTCAATTAAACGACGCTTTGCTAGTGAAATATGGCAAATCAATGATATAGGGCTCCTGCCAGCCCAGCAGGGCAAACACTACGTTTTTGTAGCTGTGGACATCCATTCAGGCCTGCTGTTTGCCTATTCCATTATGCATTATAATCAGCATAATATGCTTCTACTGTTGTCTGAACTAACCACTCAATACCAGGAGCAGAAACAAAGTAGCCAAGGCATCCACCTTACCAGTACCACTGTGCAAGACTATGTGAGAGGTTTATGAATTGAGTAGCTATATCACATTGCCTGTGACGTGCAGACCAATGGGTTAAGAGTGCTACAATGGATTATTAAATATTATTTGTGAAAATTAACCCCTTCTCATACCTGTCAGGCTGGAGGACATGTTTAGCCAAGCATAGAAATTTCTTGAAATATGTGTTGTAGGTATGAGGAAATCCATACCAAAGTCTGGTTGGCACAGCAATGTCAATATTATAACTGCACAAATTCTCCCTATTGTTAGACTTCATCCTTGGGCATAATTACCTATTAGGCCTACCCCCAGCATTACCTCTTAGATTGTGTTTGAGTCTCCTTGAAAGTGGATCTGCAAACCCAGTTCCTATTTTGCTGAACAGATGCCAGGAAACTCAGTACTGTAATAAACAATAATACAGACCCCAATATTTTGTCATGTTCTTAATGTGCCTCAAAATATTTATATCATATTTTATTTTATTTTATTTTATTTTATTTTATTTTATTTTATTTTATTTTATTTTATTTTATTTTATTTTATTTTATTTTCATAGAATCATAGAATGGTTCAGTACTGACAGCAATTTCAGTTTGGGAAGTCACATGAACTGTGGTGCCCAACGCTAACAGAGTAACAGTGCAACTGCCCCAGGCTCCTCTCAGCAGTTGTTTTAAGACCCTGTCCTTGCAACAGTAAGACAGGCCCCTGCATAACATCCACTTCCTTTTCTTGTAAATGCATGTACGTGATAACTGCTATCTGAAAGTAACCATTGCAGTTCACAGAGCCAACCACATGCTGAAGAGAGAACTTCCTGATGTAGCAAGAAATCAGCCTGGTAAATGCTCTGTGTGGACTAAAAATGTTGCCCCTGAAAAGGATGAAATGAGGTTTCATCCTTCTGACAGACAACTGGAGTTTCTCAGCTGTTCTCACTGGAGCTCTCCAGACCAGAAAGAAAGGGGAGCATCACATACATCATGCATCTAAAGAAGTTTGCATTCCAGAAGGGAAGAGCAATCTCTGGTAATTCCACTGCTGTTCAGTTCTGCCCACTAATGCACTTTTCACAAGTACTTTTTTTTTTTTTTTTTTTTTTTCCCTACTCCACCCTTGCATACATCAAGGCAATTCCTTATGGGCTTTATCAAGACTAGATGAGTGCTTGTCCTGTTTGCATTTTGTCCTGGTTTCAGTTAGCACAGAATTAATTTTCTTCCTAGTAGCTGGTGGAATGCTGTGTTTTGGCTTAGAATGAGAAGAGTGCTGATAACACCCCGATGCTTTAATTGTTGCAGAGCAGTGCTTATGCTAAGCCAAGGACATCTCAGAGGGGATGTAATAAAGAACATGGTGTGCTCAAGAGACAGTTAAATCAACCAGTCTTCTCTTTGACACTTTACCTCCCCTGCAAATAAGCCTGATATGGAGGGGAACTGATGTTCTTTGGAGAACATTTTTCCCCTTATTAGCCTTCAGCAAGACACCTTCTGTACGCCTAGATGTCTGCACTGACAACCACCTTGTGGTTTATGCTTCTTTTTCCCCTAACCTTTGTCTTGTGGGCAGTATATAAGTGGGCTGTACTTGAGTGCGGCTACCTCAGTAGATGAACAAATAACTCTTTTTTTTTCCCGTGACATTGCCACCATAGATATTTTGCCTGCAAATACCTTAGTGTTGCATTTCTTCGAGGGTCAAATGGAAATAGAATATAATCCCCTTTCTCTTTCTTATACCCAAAGCTCTTTTTTGTCAAGACAAAAAAGGACTAGTGTCCATTACATATTTATCTTGCCTGCTGCTCAAAGTATAACCTCGCCAGCATCTAATCTAAACTCAGTTCTCTTTTATCTGGATGATAATCACTATTCCAGTGCCAGGACCCTTTCTCCATACAGTGGTACACAAACTGGCAAAAACAAGGCCCTTTATCCCAGTGTCCTGGTGTTGTCCCCAAGCCAGAGAACTGGAAATGCTTCTTGGCTACACAACAGGCATAATCAGAGGAGAAATAGTGCAAGGCTCTCTGGAACATCTCTTCAGCAGAGGGTTCTCCCTCTCCAAAAGTCTCTGTGAAGTGACTCCTGCACCCCTCAAGGGAGATGTAGACTAACTGGAGCTTCAGTTGGGAATCACAGCCAACCAGAAGGGAATTCTTTATCAGCAGTGAGTTGGCCTCACCAGCAGCATGGGACATCTCCAGAAGTTTCTCATCGGCTGATTTGATTTTGTAGTTGTAGACACAATTAAACGAAACAGAAAAGGTACACAGAGTTGCAAAGATCATAATACAGCCCAGGAAAGTTGCGTAAGAATCACCAGAGTCCTGATCAAACCCAACAAATAATAAGATACCAACTAGCAAAAATAAGCTTCCTAATAGGCTAACTGCAATCCCGGAGAGAACACTGATTGAGGTACAAGGTGATACCCTAGAAGATACCTCATTAATCATCTGGATGGCCTTTCTGTAGACCTCAGTATCTTCACAGACTATACTCAGCTGGTCAGGCAGTGCCTCACTGAATGTGCCTCCTCTCCATTTTGGAACGACCTGGTCATCCACTGCAGGTAGAGTCAGGAGGGACTTCCCATTGTAGAGGGATGGAGGGCTATAAGGAACCATGGTGGCATTCCTCATCTTGTGATTGGGAGTGCAAATCACCTTGATAACTTTATCTAAAAAGTGGACATCATTGGTGTCAAGATAAGTCAAATGGGTGAGGTGCAGTGGCACAAAACAAGGCACTAACATGATGGGGATCACTGGCTTCCTTCCCAAACAGTCTTGGAAGACAGACAGATTGGCTTCCAGAAGACACCACCTGCTCTGGACAAAGTCAGGGCTGAGAACTAAGACTATCTTCTGGCTTCCTTGAATGGATTCAACCATGTTTTCAATTATGGTTTTACCTGGTATAAAGTCTCTCTCATGGTAACACGCCTTCAGATTAGGAATCATAGTCTCTAAACTCTGGATAAAGTTCCTTGACCAGGCTGAATCAGTGTTGCTATAACTGACAAAGATGTGGTGAGTCTCATGGGCTCCCAGTGCAGGTAGCTCAGGAAGCACCAGTGGTCCTTGAAGATCTGACATTCCTGCTCTTGTAGATAATGCAGAACTGGTCTCTTTAATACATACATCAGAAATGGGTTTAATTTCCTCTTTGAAATCCATCATTCTTTTCTGTGAAAGCAAAACATGAAATCACACATGATGAAATTACTCAGCATAAAAACACATAGAAATACAAGACAGAAATAAAATGCAAACTGTTCTCTCTGCCTGTCCATGCTTCTCTTCTTGAGCTACACTACACACTTGTAGTGGAGTGCAGGAACACTGATATTGGTGACAGGCTCTCAGTTCAGGAACTGGGTTATCAAGCATCTGGCTCAGTCACTGGCTTCAACTCAGATCAATACTCTAAACTTCACTCACACTCAAGCACTGACTCATGATCTGATTTAACTCAGTGGTATTATTTCTGGGAGCAAATGTGTTTCATCTAGTTAGAATTTGAATTAATTTATTATAGTAATGATAAGTAACCATATATTTCATTTAAGCATTTGCAAGTTCCTTAGTAATAACTGTTATCTACTTGGATTATCTACTTGGCACTTAATAGTATTAAATAGTATTTAGTATTAAATATTATAGTGTATATATATATTATAAAATATTTATAAATATTATAATAGTATTTTCATATATTAAATATTATAATAGTATTAAATGGTATTATCTGCTTGGGATTTAATATTAGGAATGTACAGAATATTGTTATCTGCTTTTGCTATTATCAACATAGAAAGGCATAAAGCAGAGCAAGTACCCTAAACACAGCAACCCACTGCAGGCCACAAGGAAGTCCTGTGGATCATAACCGAACCTTCTCAGATGGCTACTCCCTCACTTAGCTGAGCTATGCAAAATAAGAAGAAATCAAACAGTTTGCTTTGAAGCTCTTTATAAAATCTAGATGTGATTGCTATGGAGGTTTTTGTTCTTTGTGTGAAAAATCCATTCTATCTGAAAAATCTCTCCATTCACACTGGAGAAGCTGTGGGGAGAATACACTGACCTTTCCAAAACAACAGTGCAAGTTGCCAATTCCCCATGGACAACAAGGACATAGCAAGCCTCAGGTACTGCTGCTCTGTATTGCTACCTGTATCACCCAATGCCTCATTAGGCTTGGAAAACATTACTTTTCACAAAGATCTGGAATGTAATATTTCAAGCAAGTTCATCTTATGATAGCCAAAAAGAAATAAGGGTTGCCAAAACTGTAAATAACCAGCCGTGGCCTTCTAATGACAAATATGCTAATCTCTTGCAGAGCTAGAAATCCAGCACCAGAATAAGACACAACAGCTTGCTGAGAACTTTATGAGCAGCGCATGGTGTTCTTGAATGTTGCCAGTCTCCTCGTTCTTAACTTTGCCATCTGCTTGCATGCTAAACTCTCTTTTCTTGTTTCCTTCCTCCTCCTCCACATCAAAAAGGAACTCCCTCTGCTGAGCTTACTAGAGGATGTGAAACCAAAACTAAACAGCGACACTAACGGCAGAGAGAACAGGAGCCTGAGCAAGATCCATCTTTGTTTTCAGGGTCTTGCAGTCTGTGCTTCGGAGCATTTTACACTCTCCCCAAGTCACAACGAATTAATTGCTTTTGCTTCCTCAGCCTCTCTAGAAGGGACAGAAGGCACTACTTTTTCTTCTGTTTCACTTCCTCCCCATGCATCTTCCATAAGAGCTGTATTTCAGGAAGGGGCACTTCGTGTTTTGGGCACATGAAGCAGTGCAAGAGGTCAGTTACACTCCCTACAGCCTCTGCTGAACATCCAGGGCCTTGGAGGGGGAGGGGGGAGGGGTGGAGCAAACGTTAATAATTGAGATATTCGGGAAGAAAACAAACTCTGCATGGCACAGCAGCTGCTTGAGGAGATTCCTTATTCTGTTTCTTATCCCCACCATGGTAGCCTGCCCAAAAACTTCACTGAAACGCACCCCTGCTCTCAAGAGTGTGATTGCAAGCAGCAGCCAAGCCCCTGGGGCAAGCTTCATGTTCCTGGCTATCCCCCTGGAGAAGTGTGGGGTTTCTCCCTGGACATCTCCTATCACAGCCCATCATCTGAAAGCAAGCTGAGCTACACAGAGGACAGAAGCACTTACTCACTGGCTGGGATGAGGCAAGACACGAAGGCTTCTCAAAAGCTCCCAGAGCCAGCAGCGGCAGTGACAGCCACCAGGAGAAAAAGAGGCAATGTACGCCCTTCCCACTTGCCCAGGGGTGTATGGTTTCATTAAACTCACCCCTCCGTGGCAAAGGAGGAGCCTTAGGCTCTGGAAGAGAGTAGTAAGATGGGAGGGAACTTGGCAAGAAAACAAACATCTGATATCTTCCTGGTTTATAAAGCTTAGGCCCTGCCCACCAGGAACACCTCTTGCCTGCCTTCTCCTAAAAGCACCTGCTTTTAGGTGCAGAGGATAACCTGTGCTTCTCCACACCAGATGTATGGGAAAGTGGCCCTGAGCACAGGCGGAGTGTACTGAGACCTCCTGTCCTTCGCTTCTGCAGGTCAGGCACTTTCCTGGTCCTGCCTAATGTGCCATGTCCTCTTGGGGTGAACATGGAAAGAAACATGAGGAGAATAGACAACTAGCAAGAGGGAGCATCCACAAAGGAAGGGAGTATGGATTCAAAGGCTTGACTGTGGATGGCAGGAGCATGAGCACAGCAAAAGGTGCCCGTGTATCTGAGCCCTGAGCAGGTAGGGAAGCGTAAGGAGGCCTTACAGTGGCCACTATCCACCTGGAAACCTGCTTCTTCTGGTAGAATGGAGGCCATTGTTACTTTATTAGTGGAGTCTGGGCAGGGGAAAAGGTCTGTTTGGATGACTACACCAAATGCAATGCCATAAAGCAGACAATGTTCCATTTCCCAAGACAGAATCACTTTGTAGTGGAGTCAGACCTTTAGGCAAATACTCTAGATCAGATCAGATCATAGTTATTTTGTATATTTTAGTACAAAGAGTAAGGCTATCTACCTGGTCAAACCTTCCTCCAGATGTGTATATTTGCTGAGAGGACCCTGAGAACTTTGGCTCAGACGTATGCTGAGCCCTTGTTCTGACAGTAGATTTACCAGGGCAAGCTCTTTCCTTGCAGTGCTTCCTTTGATTATGCAGAATATCTTCCACATTTCTGACATGTATCCTGCTATGCCGTCTAACCATTACCTTAGCTCTGAAGGATTTTGAGGTATCACAGACACTTCCTTCTAGCTTTGTATCAGGAAGTTCTGACATGTGTGAGCTGACACCTGTAGCTGATACCAGAGCTAAGGAAACTCCTTCAGTACAACCCGTACTGTGAACAAGGGGGATGGTAATACTTCTTCCTAATAAAATGTGCCAGACTTCCTTATCACTTGTTTTTTATTCTGTTTGGGTCTTTCTAAGCAGCCTGCCTCTCTGTGCATGGTAAGCAGAAGTTTTTAAGCATGCAGTGAACTTCATGCATATGCTAAACAGTGAAAATATTGCCTGCTAGGAACTACAGAGTTCATTTGCAACTGCCCTGGCACTGGCAGACTGCAAGGCTAGCGGAAAAGAACCACTGTTACAACCACTATGTAGGTATGATATGTTCTGATTTTTGGCCAATGTCCATCTCTCAAGTCTTCAAAATTGTACCCTAAGAATGGCACTGGAGAAGTGCAAACCTGGACACCTGCCAGGCCAACCTTGATTAGCAACATTTGCTTGTACTTAAGTATTTTGGTCAAAAATAAACATACAAGCTGATAGACATTGTTTTTTCTTGCTCCAAACTTGCACATTCTAAAATTGAAGTTTGGAAGTATTTGTATCATGATTTCATTGATCTGTGCATAGAGGAAATATTAAAGCACTCTAAGTTGCACAGCAGATAGAATGAGGTTGGTGAGGATTTAGAGTTCCCTTCTAAGACTGCAACCCACCCAAGCAGTGTGAGGTGTGCTTTTGCTGTGAATCTATTTACAGTTGCATTTGTCAACACTGTTTTCCACTAACCTCTCTTTCATGGTTACCTTCCCTTCCACTACACAGCAGGGCAGTCATGTGGAAGAATACCTCCCTCCATGCTTTCTTATCCTGAGCATAACACCAAATATGTCAGCAACATCAAAATGGAAAGTGGATCTCTGATCATGGGATCAGCCAACAGTTGTTGGAGAGAACAAAGTATGGTAATTTTCTGACCAGGCAAGTCAAGAGTTGCTGACCATCAGTGGTCATCCTAACAGATCCATTAAATAAATGTGAATGTGTTGACCAAAAGCTTCTGTACAGAGCACAAAGCCATTTCCTGCTATGGTAGTTTCAAAACAGTAGGTAGATAAGCTACACCACACCACACTTAAACTCTTCTTCCTTAGAAGGACGGGGTAAGAAAATGCAATTAAAACAAAGCTTGTGAGTTGAGATAAGCATAGGGAGATCTCTCACTAATAATAGTCACAGGCAAAACAGACTCAATGTGAGGCAGAGTAATGTAATTTGTTGCCTGTTGATAGCAGACTAAAGCAGTGAATACTAAAAGCAAACTAAAAACACCTTCCCCGCCATCCACCCTCTTATACTACTACATCCTCCCCCTGAGCAGAACAGAAATTAATATGGCTGTAAGTTCCTGCTGGCTTGATCAAGATAGCCTCCCATCAGGAGAAAGATTGTTGTGGGACTATGACAGAAGTAGCCCCTGTTTCAGTTCCCTTACCCTATTATGTCTGTATGGGAGCATTACTAGTCAATGTCTGCTGGCTGTTAGGGTGCCTTCCGAAACCAAAGGGTGCAGCAGGTGGTGTTCTGCTTGGTGTCCTTCTCTAGTTCCTTATTTTTTAACCCTAAAGTCTTTGCTCTCAGTTTATTTTCATTCTTTTTCTTCTGCAATCAGTTGTCTTCTCTGCGTGCTGTTTTTATTCTTGCTCAAACCCCATTTTTGAGGTAGGATGCAAAAAGCACCTATTCTTGGTATGGATGAAAAATGGACTCGTGTGAACGGAAATAAGAAATAACAATAGTGACCAGAAAATAAAGAAGGACTGGACCTCACTTTCTGCAATTCAATAGCTGGGATATGCCAATTGCTACAGTTGCAAGGGTATGCACTCCTGCTCCTAGACAGAGCTCACTTCCTGGTATCTATCATCCTCCCTGCATGAGCAGAAGCAGAAGCAGGAGAGCTAACACCACCACCACAACCCTCACTACAGCCACAGGAACTACCACAACCCATGCCTCCAACACCATCTGCACCTGCATGCTGACCTACACACTGCCACCTTGGCCCATGTCACTGTGGTGGCTTACCCAGCGGGGCAGCTGAGCTCCACCACAACTACTCTCTCACTCTCCCTCCTCAAAGGGAAAGGAGGAAATAGGATGAAAAGAGCTCAAGGATTGAGATAAGTACTGGGTGATCACTCAATAACTATCATAATGGGTAAAACAGACTCAGTATAGGGAGGTTAATGTAATTTATTACCTATTACTAAAAAGCTACAGCAGTGAGAAACTAAAATAAAACGTAAACCACCTTCCCCCCCCCCCCACACACACACCCTCTTCTACCTCCTCCCCCTGAGGGGGCTGTGGTCAGTCTCTCATGCTTCGCTTCATCTTCACCACACCTTCTCGGTCACTCTCTGCCCCTGCTCCATGTGGGATCCTGCCCACAGGATGCCATCCTTACCAGACTGAGCTTGCTTTCCAAAGGCAGCAGCTCTTCAAGAACTGCTCCCACACGGCTCCATACCACGGGGTCCATCCCCCAGGAGCAAACTGCCCCAGCACAGGTCCCCCACGGGTGGGCGGCAGCTCCCCCCAGACCCCCTGCTCCTGCGTGGGCTCCTCTCCACGGGCTGCAGCTCCGGCCCAGGGCCTGCTCCTGCGGGGGCTCTCCATGGGCCGCAGCCTCCTCCAGGCCACATCCACCTGCTCCACCAGAGGCTCCTCCATGGGCTGCAGCGTGGAGATCTGCTCCATGTGGGACCCATGTGCTGCAGGGGGACAGCCTGCTCCACCAGGGGCCTCTCCACAGGCTGCAGGGGAACTGCTGCTGCCTGCCTGGAGCATCTCCTGCCCTCCTGCTGCACTCACCTGGGGGACTGCAAGGCTGGTTCTCACTCCTTACTCTCCCAGCTGCTGTTGTGCAGCAATTTTTTTTTCCCCTTTCTTAAATATGCTCTCGCAGAGGTGCAGACAATATCACTTATTGGCTCAGCTCTGGGCAGTGGTGGGTCCCTTTGGAGCCTACTGCAAGTGGCTCTGATCTAATGCGGGGCAGCATCTGAACTCTCCTCACAGAAGACACCCTTGCAGCCTCCCTGCTACCAAAACCTTGCAACTTAAGCCCAATACAGTCACCTAAAGAGATGGGAGCTGCTGACTCTTTCCATCATACCCCATATAACACCCCACAAAAACTGGCACTGAAAAACAGCATGACACTGAAGAACAGAGTGAACACATACATGAACTGCTTTGTTGCCTTGCCCTTCTTTATCCCTTCCCCCTCCCTCTACTCTTTATTTTTAGTTAAGAAAACAGGAAACAAAAAACGGTATTACTCCCTCCTTGTAGTGAGGAGATAATATTTTGCACAAGGCATTTGACTGGCAAACATTTTTCTTCTCACAGATCTTACAGTGTAATATTTGTCTCAGTTGCTTTTGTCTTGCAGACCATAGAAATGTATGTGATGCAGTTGACTATTTTGGCTACAGAGGAGATGGGGAAAGGGCTGTTATTAACCTATTTATAAGGCTTGGTGGAAAACAGTCCTTCAGACTGCATTGCACTGATATTTCTGAAAGAAATCATTCATATTCCAGTGCAGTTTGCTTTTCACCTCATTCTTTGTGGATCTAAGGTGGTAGGTGAGAAAGATGTAAAAACAGTTTCTTACCATTTAGTTGCATTTCTTACTGGCCCTCTAACACAATCTTTTGGATTGCCTAGAATGCTCCAAATATTAAGGATCCAAGAAATGCAGGCAGCTCAAAAAGCATTTGATTTTCTTGGCCTCATTCTTGCATTACACTCTGGGATATATTTGTTTAATATCCTAACCCAGTAAATTTAAGTATCATTAGAGTGGATTTTTAAATTGAAAGGAAGAAGTATTCAAGTTACTTGCAGACCACGAGATCACAGTCCTTTCAATAACAAAATTATTTTGAACAACTTGCTCTACCATTTCCTTTTCATGCAGATATCTATTTATTTAAGTTAATCTTGTGACAGGAAGGATGATGCACACAACTGAGTCTTCTCCTTCCTTTCTCCTGCCTGTAGATTCACTATATAGCCATGAGGACTTCAGCTCTCTGCACATTGATTCTCACCCATAAAATATGGAAAACAATCATTTCTCTCTCTGTTCTTACGCTGAACTTTTCTATTTAGACCACAGGCTCTTCCTGGCAAAATTACCTGCTGCTATTGGTATTTAGTATACAGAGTCTTGTCCAGGAACTGATGTGAAAGAAACAAACATTCTGGTTTTATAGCTATGCCTGGTTTCCAGATCACTGGTAGCACATTTGTCCATCTCACTCTCATTAAATACAAGTATTTTAAACAGAAACAGGTCAAGTATTACTTTCATATGCAATGCACACTGGTTATTTTTTCCCATCTCACTCTGATTTTAAATATTTATGTAACAACCATTACTTTATGTTACTTAATATATCTAATGCAGACCTAATCTGCTTATGTTGCTAAAATATTTAATATTAATTTAATATAATCTGGCGTGGAAGAAGGAAGTACTGACACAGCAAAATTTTCAGGGTACCATGGATTATCTAGGCGATTAAGAACTTGAGCTGACAGTGAAGAAATGCAGAGGCCTAAATAAGACGTGAATTGTGACATTTTATGTTAAAAAATAAAGTTTATGCATTAGGTACTGCTAACATAGATCTGTTGTCAAAACAGCAAACAAGCTGTACAAAGTATGTACAAAGAACATGGTAAAGAACAACGAACATATCACCATGCTTATAGAAATCAACGGCATATGGGTTCGTTGTTTTCTTCAGCTTAAGGCTACATACTCATAAGATCATGAGATGGTCTGATCTCTACAGACTCACCACCCCATGCAGCTCTCTTACTCAGCACTTCATGTAAATCTTCCTTCCTTTGCTTTGGTACCAAGGAGGACAGTACTTCTTGCTACAGTACCTTTGCTACAGCAGGCAATGTGGGGAAGAAAAGCTGTTAAACTGATAAGGGACAGGAAAAGAAACCTTGACAAGCAGAGAAGGGATTATTCACTCCTGTGAAGAAAGGTGCACAGCTCCACCAGCTGCAACCACGAGACTGATGAACAGGATGCTGAACAGGAAACTGAATTGAGTAGTTCTGTCAAGCTCCTGTCAGAATGACTCACCACTTTAAAAAGCCATAGGTGAGCACTGCACACGCTTCTTTTCTCTCCTCTTTGGTCGTGTGTGGACCTCAGTAGAAGCCATGGAGGTCTCTGGCTGATGGTGTAGCTGCATGGTCTCACGCGCTGGCCCCTAAGAACTTCCTGGTGCAGATGCATAGCCTGCAGACATCTTGGGGAGAAACTTCTAACATGGTTATCCATACAGGGGACATGACACCAACCTCAACTAGCAAAATCTATGATTCACAGCACTGGAATCTTTCACAGTTTGTGGTTGCAAAGGCTTCAAACGGTAAGTGACTTTTCAAGGTGTTAGATGCTGTGTTTGCTCTGTGATGAATCACATTATCTATAAAGAAATTCTGAACTTTCCTGAAAGATAACATTGACAGGAAATACAGCTACTAATCATTATTGATATCCAGTCTATCAGCTTCTGTAGATAATGACAAAGAGGAAGTCTGATGTTTTAGGTCATTTGAGGTTTCTATCATAATCTCCCTGTCACACCTATTGTTATATTTTTATTTGTTTTATTAACCTTAATATTGTTAATTGCTTTCATGTAACTATATTGCTGTGGTGCTTTCTCTTATGTACTTCAACCCTCCCTACTTATTTCCATCCTCCTTTGGGTCATTTCCAGTGTTAATGTTGTCAGTTCTTAAAGACGGAAGCTTCCTGCTCTAAGGAACCTGCTTTGGCAGAAGGGTTGGACCTGATGATCTTTCGAGGTCCCTTCCAACCCCTTCAGTTCTGTGATTCTGTGATGGACGCTATGTCTTCTACAAAATTCTAACACATGAGTGCTGCAGATAAGTAAATAACAATCCTGGTGAATACTAGTCTCACCAAAAATGCAAACACAGCTAATAACATATCTGGATTCCTTTCTCTTATGCATCCTATTCCAAAACTTTCCAAAATAATGTTTTGCAAGACTGCTGAATGACTGGCCTTCTTGATGTAAGAGACCTGGCTGCAACATTCTCAGCCCTGCACTTTTGAGTGCAGGAGCACATGCTTAGTGCTCCTCAAGTACTACTTCACAACACACTCACATTCATTTAGCTACTTTTCTAATAAACCATTTGATCCTGAAAAATAAACACTTTTCAAATGTTATATGTAGAGTTTACTACAGTTTCAACAGCACCCCAAAAATTAACATCTTGTTTAGGGTATAGCCCTTGTTTAGGGCCGACTGAAGATTTTTAACTCACTGGCAGTTCTTCCATCGACTGTGGAGGTAGATGGGCTGATAAAATCAACCAAGAGCAGGATAAATTAGCTCCCCCAGCCTAGCTGTGCAATCACAGCTAAATCGCTGCTAGCGTGCGAGCTATTTAGTTCCAGTCAAACTAGGGCATCCCAGCAGTACACTGTTGTGACCACAATGCAGATATTTCTAATGTAAACCCTCTGTCCCCCAAATTTTTGTTCTGAAGTGATTTCTCCCTGCATAATTGAAAAGTTAGAGGTAGCATGTTAATGGGTGAGAAAAGGTAATCAAAGTTTATTTGTTACAGCAGTAAGCAGGAGGTGGCATCACAGAATCCATCAAACATTTTGAGTCATTCCCATGAGACTCATAGCATTGAAGGGGCCAAGTAGTTTTTCTGAGAAAATAATTTGCTTAGAAAATGCCACATTTTTAGTTAGAATGTTTGCATTTTCTCCCTGTGATTCTGTCTGGAGGGTATGTTTGCCTTTTGCCTTTATCAAATTCTTATCTTCTTGTTCAATCTTCATTTTATGAAATGTGGGAACATTTCTTGAAACAAAATACACAGCTAAGTAAATACATGGCCATTACAACGCCTAATGGGAGACTTTTTTCCTGCAAAAATAGGCACTTACCTTTTCTGAACAGCTGTCCTTGACAGCTCAACAGCCTCCAGTGATGTCTGTGGAAGTTACCATTGCAGAGGAATTTGCAGGCCTACCTTCACAGAAGCCCATATGCTTTGAGCCAGTAAGGTGCCAGAAAGAAGAACTGAAAGCTGCCCTAAATATTAGCAGCTGAGAGTGGGTTTGACAAGTGTCTGTCTTGCACTCAGCCTATGCACTGCATTCTGCTTTGGTACAAGGATAAATTCCCCTTCTCCTCCAAAATCATCCTGAGCACTTGCTGCAAACACCCAACTCATCTGTCTGTAGGTCAGCAGCAACTGTCCCCCTCCAAAGCCTTTAGCTCATGTGGGGAGCTTTGCAAACCACACTTCCTCAGTAACAGCAGCAGGCTGCTTACTCTTTGGTCAGGAGGTGTATTTGCCAAATTGATCTGTGAAACTAAAAGTCAAGTGTCTCAGTTATGTAAAGGAAGCATCTAGGGTAACAAGGATAGCCATTTTGAAGCATCAAATGATTCACAACGGAAGATGTAAATTCTCAGTTTCTTTGTCAACCTGGAGAATGACCTGAAAATGTCATTAATAGCAGCGGGTGAGTAAGTGTGAAATGGATACCTGTGACTTCTCTGTGGTTATAAGCCACAGTAAACTATTTTTGACCACAGTAGCAGGCGGATCTGAATGAAAAGAGAGCGAGCCACTTAAGAGACATTTCATTCTTAAGACTAAAACCAGGTAGTGCGCTATCTGATTTTAGGAAAGTGGATGGTCCAGTGTCCAGGGTTGTTTATGTTCTCAGATTTGCTTTGTTTTGCTTAAGTCAGGAGGTGCTTGGCAAGTTTTATCATTAAACAGCCTGAAGTAGAAGAATGAGTAAATGTTGAGAAACTTGTTCTTAGAAAGAGATGCACAAATAGCTGTGCATACACTAGTGTTTCCCTGTCTTTTATGCAAAACTTGTTCAATATGAAACAGGTACTGACCCTTCTTGCTGTCCTAATTCCATACCTTCCTCTCATTCTCTGCTCCTCTGGGTTCAGTTCTCCCAAAACCTCTTAAAGCATATATATCCTGAGCATTCTGGATCCATTACTTTTTCCATCTCCCCTTCCCCCTCTTCTGGGAATCTTTGGTTCCCTAAGTTCCCCAAAGCCAACATATTTAAAGCATTGTTTTCACACACTTTTTTTATTCCTTTTTACCCTTTTGCCTGTCTCTTCTCAAGTGTCATCCCAGGAATACTGGCACGTCCAGCTCTCCAGCACATTGCCTAAACAAGCCGCTGCCACATGCCAAAGCTGAAGTCAACCGTAAGTCTGTATGCATAGAAGCATAAAGTTTATATGGGTCTTGATTATCTGCAAAGATAAGCACCCGGGGATAATTATCAGCAACTGATTACGCTTAAATATTCTTGGCAAATAAAAGGAATTGGAGGTCACGGTGAAAGCATAATGCATAACCCTCCATGTTCATGGTTTTCTCTCAGGTTTTCTGCGTGGGTACCGATGGCGGCATGCTTTGGACAAACCCGCACTAGGTGTGCACCTCATCAGCCTTGCACGGGGAGCTGCATTCCCCATTCCCCTGGACATCTGACCTCGCCACACAGCCAGGATCTGTCGCCAATAAAGCAGCTACCGCGCGTCAGACACCGCACGAAACACTGGTGCGGAGCGCCAGCCCTCCCGGTACGTGCAGCCCCGTCTCACGACCCAGCCTGCGGCCCCACGTCCAGCCCTTGCACCGTCTCTCCGCCCGTTCCGGCCCCGTCATCTCCTCCCGCGGCGGGGCAGGAGCTCCGCACCCATGGGGCGCCCCGGGGCTGGCGGCTCCCCGGAGCGGAGGACGGCGCCCCGCAAGGCTGGAGGTGCATGGGGCGAGGGAGCTCGGCGGCCGGGCTGCCGGCTGGGCTGCGGCCGGGCGAGGAGAGGGGAGCCGCGGCGTCCCGGGGCAGCGCCGGTGTCCCGGGAGCCGCCGGGCTGCTGGAAAGCCCCGCGGCGAGATGGCGCCCGCCGGGCTCCCGGGGGCTGCGGGCAGGCGGGGATGGGGCCGCAGCGCCCACCCGGGCCGCTGTCCTCGCCTCCTGTCCTCAGAGAGTGGCCTCTGGAACGGCTCCGGGGATCCTGGGCTCTGCTCCTGCCTTCAACTCCGTATGTTTTTTAAAAATTCCTCGTATTTATTTATTTATTTATTTATTTTTTCAGGTCTGTTCTCAAACATCTGGTTCTGGCGAGGTGTTGCTGGAATCCTCGTTGCTGCTGTCGTCTTGATTTTGTGTATTCACTTTGGTAAGCATATGCACTTTGTGTAAGGTATTTGCAAAGAACATCTAACTAGCCTTAGAAATTAGAGTTTTGCATGGTCAGAAGTCCCCAGGACCTCACAAGAGGGTTCTTCAGACCTTACCGTGTTTCAAAGCTAATTACACGTCTCATGCCTTGCTGTTTAAAACTGTGGTCTAATACTGGGGAAATAACTCCCATAGTTAGAGAGTGCTCAGATTAGTCTGAGTGTGCTTCTGACATTCAGTTCTATAACCTTGCTGTTGATCATAATCCAAGCTTGGGAAAACAAATGCAAAATTGTCTTTTGCAACCACTCTGTAATCCTTAACACTGTAGTAAACAAAGTTATTGATTCAATACAAGAAAGAAACACTCACAAAAGCCTTAATTGTCAGAAACATTTAAGTTGTAGATGAGTGTCTAAAGCATACATAGTTATTACCTTCCCAGTTACTTCTACCGACTTGCAGTGATCATCACTTTAAAGATTTGTTAGCGGGAGCTAGAGTACATAATTAGTTTGCAATAAATATTTCTGCTGGGCAGAGATAATTATGTAGTGGTTAGACTGAGATGAATTAGATGGTGCAGCCACAAAGCAAGCTAAAAAGCTCTAGAAACCTTTTCCATTTGGAAGAAATAGGTTTCTGTCTTTTTGCAGTAAACCATTCTTCGGACAAAGATATTCCTGCCTGTCCATCCCTGGAACTCTGTCCATCAGATTGGCTATATTTCCAGAAGAAATGCTACTACCTCTCAGAGAGAGAAGCCAACTGGAACTCTAGTCAGAACTTCTGCTCATTGCGCAATGCTTCCCTCCTGGTGATCGAAAATCTTCAGGAATTGGTAAGAGAACAAAGCAGGGATCCTGGTTTCACTCCATCTCGCTTCTAGGATACTGCACAATACACCCATGAGTTTTTCCAGCCTTGTAAGCTGAACAGTTTTAATTCTGATGCAAAGGCTGTGACAAGTCACAGCAAGCAGAAAGCTGCGTACCTCTTTCCCTGCAAACAGCAAACGTCAGTTCTAGCAGTTGATGTGTTAGAACAGTTGATGTGTTAGAACATCCCCAAGGCTTATCTGAGTTAAATTTTATGCTGTTCACAGCCATAAGTACTCACACGGAAGGCAACTGTCAGCGTAAATATCGTTGTATCTTAGGTAACTTTAATTAGACGAAAACTGTTCTCTCTTAGCAAGATAGATTGACAGACAAGTTGATAGATGTGTTAGTCTTGACTTTTGGTGTTAGGAGATAATTATTTTAACCGCAGTTTAGAGCATCCTTTTCTGTATCATACTAGTAAAAAGACCTAGGACAATATATCCTCCCATATCTGTTAGTAGACCTTGATAGCATTTGCTATGTTAAAACAGTTTCTCCCTATGTCAATAGATCACATCACAGATACCAGTGTTATGGCTATACTGGGTGCAAATGACAATCCTGTTCTATGTACTGTGGCAAGGTTCTACCCTCACTCATCTCCCTCTAAAATGTCCATCACAAATCCTTGCTACTTAGTAATAAAAATTCAATATGATGAAGACATACCAGTGATGGAGAAATGCATTATCTGCAAAGGTGCTCATTGTTCTTTGAAGAGTTTCTCGTGGAGAAAGAATAAATGCAGTTCCATAGTAGTTCTTAATATTCAGCAGTATACTTGGATTCTTGTAGTTGGCATTTCTACTGCTACAATATCTGAGTGCTGCAGGGATAATCTTAAAATTAGTCTGCTTATTTCTGTTCAAGTTGTAAGTTCTTTTTCCGTAAGGTGAATCACACAAGATCCTGTAGATTTAGTCCTTAATACTGTTCCTTTTGAGAGAAAGGCAAGATCATTGCTTTGCTTTTGAGCCTTGCATCAAAGACTTCATATTCTGATAACTGTATGGAACATGCAAAACTTCTTTTGTGTTTATTCCTGCAGAGTTTTATGGTGAAGATAACAAAGCAAGACCCATGGATTGGACTTCATAAAATAAATGAAGAATTCTTTTGGGTAAATGGGAGCACATTAGATAACAAGCTGTGAGTCAATGCTGTTGTTTTTTGCTAGTGATACTAGATTATAGAGGACCAAAATACGATAACATAGAGATATAGATAGTGACTTGAAAGAAATACCTGTAATGATGCTGTCCAGATGGCAATGGAAACAGCAAGGAATACAATACAGATTTCACATAGTTTGGGTAAAACTGATGATGAAAATTAGGAGATAAATCTGTAACACCTGATTCAGAAGCAAAATGAGAAGGGAGGTCATGGTAACAAACAGTATAGCAAAGTGAAAGTTAAATCTTGAGACCACCAAGGTACTGACGTAATGGGGAAAGGGATGAAAGATTCCAATAACCTGAATTCCTCATCATAGAATAGAGTTTGAAAGAACAATGCAAGAGGCTTATGGGAAAGGTATTTGGGAGGCTTGTAAGATATGTTCATACCTCTTATGGTATATGCTTACACACACACAAAAAAAAAAGGGTTCCAGAGGGGGAGTTGAAGCTGTGAATTTGTGTTGTAAGAGCTACTCTGTGGTACCTGCCCTATGCTCTCTCACAGGCATCACGTGTGGGGGTACTTTGCTCCTCCCACCAATGGCTGGTCCATCATTTCAGAGTCCTGCATCTCATTCTGGGGCAGCTGCTGGCAGGAGTCTGTAGAATAACCAATGACAGTGATAGACACTGAGATTTCACAAGTCTGAAATTAATATTGAGTATTTAGATTTTTCATTTTTTAAGGTTTTTGACATCACTAGTTATGCGTGACTATATCCTGTTCCTCCCTGAGACTTGCAAGCTTGATCTGACAAATATCTTACACGTTTAATAGGAGATGTAAGCAGAATGTAGGCATCTTAAGTTGGAAACTGCAGTCCTCCCCACTGTTGCTTACTCCTGCCTGTGACAGAAACAAGTTCTTTGCATTCTTAGACTTTTGCCTCTGTGCATGCCTAAAACTGCTCCTCCTGTCTTTAAAAGAGTGAGTACCTTGATGTCTAAGAACATGAACTGTAAGAGTCATGTTAGCACTGGGGCAGGTTGGCCTTTGTCTTTTCCAGCTTGGTTAGCCTACTCACTGAACACTATTACACTTTATTTTAACACACAGTTGGTGAAGGAGGCCCTTACCTCTTCCACACCTGTGGTGCAGAAATGGAGATTCATTTCCTATTTCCCACCAGCCCCTTAACCATAGTGCCTTGTTCAATTCTGAGGAAGAGGAAAATTAAAAAAAATATTTGTTTCACAGCTTCTCTTGAAAATTTTTAGCTGTACAGAATGCCAAGGGAGTCAAAGGTGGAGCCAGTCTTTGATAGCCCAGGGTCTTTCAGAAGGGCAAATTTAAATTCCATTATTTGCTCTAGGGATGTATTTCACATTAAGCAACCACTAGGCAAGATGCAGGAATACTGCCAGCCCTAGGTTTTGTATTCTGGGGGCCAGACCCCCATAAAAGAAGATGATACCTGTGGCATTTTCTTCAGAGAGCAAGATATCATCTTCATGCCATGCCTTGCCCATAGTAAATCAGGTGTTACATGAAAAGAATCCGTAATCCCTTTAGTTCTCTCTTCTCTGTTGAATTATTTGATTCTGGCTGTCAAAGTAATAGTATCTTTCATTTTCCCTTGCAGGATTGAGGTAAAAGGCTCTGGAAACTGTGCCTATCTTGAGTCAAAAGGAGTCTCGGCCTCTGGATGTTATTTAACCAGGAAGTGGGTCTGTAGCTTGAGTACTAGCTTAGCATGATAATGGTGGGCGAAGTCACCTTCTCTGACACGTAGAACTCTGATATATCTGCACAGTATATGTGTATACTCTGGGACCTGGGAATGTATTTCAGCTCTTGCCTGGAAGTGAACATGTTTTCTGGTAGCCAGGACTTTCTGCCCGTGGAGGGGGCTTCTGTTTTTTCACAATGTCATTTCAATGTCTTTTCTCAGGGTCTTGATAAATTTTCTTGCCCCATATTTCTAGCTGCTAAGCTACTGCTCAGCCTGTAGCTTCTTTTGTGTCATCAGTATTTCTTCCATGATTTTGTGTCTTGTAGGATCCTAAGCAGCTGTTCTTTTCTATTTGGTGTGTCATTGGATGTGTTCGTTCTGCCTTTCTCTTTTCGAAGCTCTGTGTACAGGCATGGTATTATACAAAGTGATGTGGCTCTGCCTAAAGGTTTCTGTATCTCCCAGATACAGGATGATCCAGAAATGAGCACTTTGGTTTTAGACATGAGCATTGTGGACTTCGTACTCCCAGTTTGATGGGGTGCGTCTTGTGTGTCTCTGCATCACATTCATTGTTTTTTGTAATTGTTATTTTGCATTAATTTTGTTTAATTTGCTTGGTAGTAATACTGAAATTCATATAGCTGCTTTCCTGAAGCTCTCCTTCCTGCAGCACCCATCTTAGCAAAAAAATAAATAAAAAGTATTAATTTATCTGAGGATTTGCACAAATGGGGAGGAGAAGTTCAAACTACAAAAGTAAGGGTCCAAGTATTAATATAGTAAAATTAGAAATATCCCTAGTGCAAATGGCAAAATATTGAGAATAAGAGAATTAATAATAAAGGATGTGCCTTCATGATTTCCTCATGTCTTATGCCTATCTGAGTTTGAGGAATCTAGACAAGTGGTCAATTTCTGGATAGACTATCAGTGTTTTGTTCTGTGTGCATATCATTTTCAATAGCAACATACAGAATGAGGGCACAATCCCACTGAACTCTGTCCATTCATTCTACAAGGTAAACTGAAGACAGAAAGTGACATTGAACTAAAGGAAGCAAATCAGCTTGTTTTCATGGAGGGACTATTTGTAATGGTTTTCTAGACAAGGAAGGATCAGGAATTCTCATGTATAACAGGGCAAAATACTTCCTGCTCAGAATAAAATCTGGAAACAAAGGACTTTGTTTACTAAGATTCCCTCTCTTTAAGGCAGCTCTGGCAGTATATCTAGTACAGAATGCCCCTGGCCATAGAGGTTGTCCATGTATTTTGTTAGGAAATAAGGGGGGGTGACCTCTCATCTGGTGGAAATCAGTGTTGCTTAATTGATTCAAGTGGAAATACGCTACTCTGCAGAAGTACAGGATCTGCTGCTGTATTGCCATGCCCTTCTGTCACCTCTTCAGGCATGCATAGTTGACTTTTGTGATGTGGTATGCCGCAGGCTACATGGGATTTCTTAAAGAAGCAAGTGGAATAACTTTTTGAGCCACTAGAGAGCAGTGTAGTTTCAGGGAAGGAAAGATAATTGTGTTTCTTTCATTGTCAAGAATGTAAAATTGCACTGTGTTTTTTTCAGTATTATATTTTGTCCTATTTCTAATAATTTTTTTGCCTTCACTGTATTTTTATGAAAATTTAATTGTCTAATTTTGTTAATTGTTTTGTTTATGCCTTCATTATTTTCTGTGACAGTAGGACTGTACTGTAACAGGATTTTGTGGTACAGATATTGTTAAAAACTTGTATCTTCTAGATGTTAATTTATATATGATCATAATTTTTCTGAACTACACTTTTTTAATTGCATGTGTTTTTATAAGCACAGTAACAAGACTCTACAGTATGAATAGCAGTAGGAATCTATGTGTTAATTTATATGTAACTTGTTTGTTTGTTTCCCTGCAATGTTTTTAAATTAACTAGCTCTGAAGAGTATGGTATGTGCAATAGTCCGGAAAAGATACTTAATAAATATCTTTACAGAGCTTTTGAATTCCACTGGTGTGTGTGCGAATGTTGTACCATTAAAAGTCTTTTTTCAGCCCAAGCACCATATGGAAAAAAAAGAAGTCACACCAGACTGAAGCAAAATAAAATATTCAGGTTTTCAGTATGAAAAGATCTTTAAAGATAACGTTGGGGTTTACATGAAATGACATTTCATGCCACCACCCCAGAAAACATTTCATTTTCTAACAGTTTAAATCTTTTTAAACCCTTCAAAATATGTCAGATTTAACAAAGCATTTAACTAAACTGGTGAAGTAGTCCTCTGGAAATGCTGAAACAAGCATAGTGAAATAAAAACAGTATAGTAAATTTGGGGGGAAACATGGAGTTTTATGCAGTTTGTTCTTACAAAGTTTTCAGAGCATTTATATTATTGAAATTCTATAGGTATATTTTACAAATTTGATAGAATTTGTGAGGGATAAGGGGTATTCTTGTACCACATTTTATCTTCTTTAGTGAACTGATTTACCCAGAAATTCTTTTTAAATACAGAATAATGGCACTCTTGTGTTTTTTTTGTTTTGTTTTGTTTTTTCTCCATCAATGCCATCTATATGTAGAGTCCAAATATTGAAAATTTTAGTTCTTAAAGGAGGTTTTGAAGAAACCATGAGCACAATGGGTTACAATGAAAGCGCTTTTTGACTCTTAATGGGTGCAATTAGCATCTTTGTTAATACCCAATGTCTGTCATGCTAAGAACTGAAGGGGCGGGATATGAACTCGCTTTACTCACAGTGAGGTTAATGAAGTACTACAATTAAGTGCTTTTTTTTTTTTTCCCTTTTAAATCTGTAGGATTACACAAGATTTAGTGACTGCATAAAGTGTAGGTAAGGTCTTTGGTAAGACGCTACAAAAATATTTAATTACATTAGTAATAGCTAGGATGTTTGAATAACAGATACTTCATAAGTATTGTTAAAATCACCACTGATTTCAGAGAAATTAGCTCAACATGTGTTATGGTTTCAGCTGGAATAGAGTTAATTGTCTTTATAGTGGCTGGTATGGTGCCTTGTTTTGGATTTAGGAGGAAAATAATGTTAATAACATAACAATGTTTTAGTTGCTGCAGAGCAGTGCTTACACTATATCAAGGACTCTTCTGCTTGTCATGCTGCTCTGCCAGCAAGGAGACTGGGGGTGCCCAAGAAGCTGACCCAAACTGCCTGAAGGGAGATTCCATATAATGTGACATCATGCTCAGCAATAAAAGCTGGGATAAAGGAGGAGGAGGTGGGGGATGTTTGGAGTGATGGTGTTTGTCTTCCCAAGAACCCATTACGCACAATGAGCCCTGCTTTCCGGGAAGTGACTGAGCATCTGCCCACCCATGGAAAGTAGCGAATTAATTCCTTATTTTGTTTTGCTTGCATACGTGGCTTTTGTTTAACTAGTAAACTCTCTTCCTCCAAGCCCATGAGTTCTCACACTTCTACTTTTCTGATTCTTTCCCTTATTGCACCTGGGAAGAGTGAGTGAGCGGCTATTTGGTGCTTGGCTGCCTAGCAGGGTTAAACCACAACATGTCTTGAGAAATATTTGCCATAAAACCCAGCAATCCAGGAGTTGTCTACAATGCATATAGAAAGGTAGGCTCTAAGTACCCTGGAATAACATGTTTTTTTCTCCATTGAAAAAAAGTATCTTGTTTATTTCAGACGTTTTCCTTGCTTTTCCTTCTCCATGTAGAACAAGTCTGTCCCTGCACACATGCTGAACTGAGTTTTTCTTCTCTCTCTCTCTCTCTCTCTTTTCTTTTTTTTTTTTTAACACAAGAACAACAGTTTTTCAAACGAGTCTTTAGTTGCTGATACTACATTCTGCAGGGGAAAGTTACGTTGTTTTTTTCGTTTGAAAGGAAGTCAGCAACGCTGATTGTGACATTCACTTCTTAATCTTTAGCTTTAAAGATCTTAAGAAAAGCTGTCGTGTTGTGCTTATGGAACATAGATACATCAAGCGGTTAGTATCTCAAAAGAGGATCTCTTCACCTTTAAAACTCTCACTTACATACGCCTACTACCTCCCTACCACCTTTGCGTGTCCATAAATAAGTGCACTGTTGGCCATCAGTGTCCATGGATGGATTCTAACACCACAACAGGTTTTTATTTGTGCAGGTCAGCAGAAGCCTGTAAATTTAATTTAATATTATTAGTTTTCTGAGGTCTTCAAATGTTCAATGAGTCTACAGCTGTTTGAGAGGTGAGTTGCAAAATATGGAGGGTCCTTTTTTGTGTAGATATTTTCCCTGGTCTCTGAGTTTCAAGGCTCACATACTGCTGTATTCTGCCTTCTCTTTGTTTTCAGTGCAGCTAAGAACTCACTAAGAGCCACATGATGTGAGGGAGGGGTGTCAGTTTGTTGGTGTTACGAAATATATCATGAAACATTTGTTCTACAGTTGCAATCACGTGCATGGTAAAAAAGCGGTACTTCATGCCATGAGCTCACTTGTGAGCGTGTCTGTTAGTTACTCATCACAGGTTACAGACATTAACCACAGCCCTCCAGATGGGCACCACACATCTGGGGCAGGTATGAATCAACATACCTTGGAAACTGCATCTGCCTTTAATTATGTGCTCCACAGCAAACATGAGCTAAAGGCTTTACATTTTGAAAGCCATATTGGACTTACTTATCTTTCTTGATGCTAACAAGGTCTTTAATTCCAGTCTGTGCATTTTTTGTTAGAGTAGCATCTTTGATGTTAATGTTATGGTATTTTGTGGTTTGTCTTTTTTTCCACGCACGGTTCACCACACAGAGACAGTGTAAAAGCACAAAAAACTGTATTAAAAGCCTGGCAGCTTAGAAATTCTCCCTAACTGGCCCTAAAAGGGCCTTGGAGTGTCTTTTTCTAAAAAATATTGTATGATTCCATGAAACAAGGTAAGAATTCAGTGTCTTATTGTGGTAAGCACAATGTAGAAGAGTTAACTTTAGGGGCATTTGAAGAGATGCTGTCTGAAATAGAAAGGGTAAAAAAAAAAAAATTGCTTAAGCAACCCTGTCTGTAAGCATGGAAAAGTAGATTTTACACTAGTAGATTTTACACCAGTAGATTTTGCAAGGCAGCAGTTTGTATGTATGAGAATGCCTCAGCTCTGTGGCCCCACTGTCTGAGAATATGAAACTAGAGATTCACAGTTCAGTTTGAGCTTTTTGAATATTAGCTTTCACATCAGAAGTGTTTGATATTTTATCAGATAGGACTCAGATGTCACACTGGTATTTTTTAATCAAAGCATACCAGAAGAGAAGGATATTGAAATGCAGTCTCCCTGTTTTGCTTCCCTATTGAACAGCCACCACTGCTGTGCTTCATGACTAATACAGTCAGTGTATCAGGATCAGTGAACAAGACTCAAACATACTGTGGAAGAGTTGGTTTTCTTTGCTTCAATAAAATATTCAGTTTGGACTGTGTTCATTTTTCGCTTGCACAAGTCTTTGTTAAATTAAATATACCAACTTGTTGTTTTGACTATAAGAAGTAGTGCCAAGTATCCAGCAGAGAAGAAACAAGGGTGTGCTTTTCTCTTCTGTAGGGGAGCCACCTGTATAAGATTTGGTAACTCACCTCTCGATTTGAAGGAGGAGATCTTTTTCTACTCACTGCTGCTGTAATAATAAAACAAAGTTCACACACACAACTTCTCCTAGAGTCTGGAAATATACAAATAAATGGGATACAGTCTGCCATAAGAATCATCGTCTTTCATTTAGGTGAACTTGTGCATAAAAGGGTTTGCAAAGCACTTCAGTGGGTGTTTGAGGTAGACAGAGGACAGCTGAGCATCTTTGTATGGACAAGAGGAATTCAGAGGTCCCCCTAGCCCCTCGGTATTGTTACTGGACATAAAACTTGTAAAGCAGAAATTACGCACTCTAGTAGTGAAAAGAGCATTTGCAGGAATACAAAATTCATTGCTCGATTTGTACAATAGATCTGAGGTGCCACCTGTGGTGCTTGGTATGTTCAGAAGCAGCTGGTGTAAATAGGAATATACCAAAGGCAACGTGAGCCAAGAGCAGAGGACAAACCTTGCAAAGGCAATGCTCTCATCAACCAGGCACAGTCCCACGGGGGCTGAAAACAGCAGGTAGAGCAGGGTGCTGATAACAGTGTCCTTCAATGGTCCCAGGCAAAGCAAGTGATGAGGCAGGTCCAGGATCCACTCAGGGAATCCAGTCAGGAGCAACAGGGACAGAGACATGGCTACAGACAAGACTATAATGTGGGTGTAGAGTTCATCCAGGAGGCAGGGAAAAAGAACTGGAGACAAATTAGAACATTCTTAGAAGGAGGGATCCAGGAGGCAAGATACCAACAACAAAGGTTCAAGATCCATCCAAGAAATGAGGCAGGAAAGCAAGACTGGAGACAGTACATCTATGACATTGCCCAGGCAGAGACTGACCCCAGGCCTGAGACTGAATAATCTTGGGCCCATGGGAAGGAGATCTGGGTGGGAGTCTCAGGAGAGGCTTTCAGGAAGCTTAGGGCCTATTAGTGCCTTCAGGGCCCTGTGAATACCCAAGTGGAGGTACATGATTTTCAAACAGGAGGAAAGCAGTTTTATTACACCTCCACATCCATTTTCCCCTATATGTGTGTTGTTTGTTCGTTGTTGTTGTTTTAATTTCCATGTTTACACATTACTTGCTCTCCTCATTATTGAACATGAGTCACTGGAAATATTTCAACAGTGGTGCAAATATTTGCACTCTGGTTACTCATTTCAAAGACACATGCTAGCTAGAAATCTAGAGTAATTGTTACTCTTATTATACTAAGTTATTTGTAACAATTGGAACAAGTTACTTTCGTGACTTCTTTGAAATCTAATCGTGACATTTTTTTCATTTTTTTTTTCCAAATATATTAATCTAAAAAAGATGGTAAGTCAGATCGCTCTTAGCATTTTTTCACTGTAGGTCCAGAAATAGTGTGGTGTCCCTGAAAATTGAGTGACCAAGCATCTTATTTACTGACTAGATCAACAGTCATTAATTTTACTTAACTTTAGCTTCAATATCTGATCACATCTCTCAGGCAGTACTTAGAGTTCCATGTCAAAGAGTTCGCAACATAAAGGGGCAAAATGTAGGAGGAAAGGCAGGCCACCATCTTCATTTCCTTGCTGCTGTTCCTCTGCAATCTTGTCTTATGGTCCAAATCTCTTCCTTAGCTCATAGCTTTGTATCAGGTCACAAGGTTCAACATTAGAAGAAGATGGGAGCCATCAGGCTATTAGCCACAAGCGTTATGGGTCACCTCATGCTTGATCCAGTACCTCTATACCCAGCAGCCATGCAGGTTGGCTCTGAATAAGTATGAGACACTGTCTAGTAAAATCATTTTCTTCCAGCCCTTCAGAAAACACCAAAATATTGAAACCCAAATAAAAAGTGCCTCACCAAAGTCTGCCTCAGGGACGTATACAAAAGCAGTGGGCTCCAGCACAGTCTTCAGCCCTCACAGGTGGCATCTTTCTTGCATATCATACAGATCATGTACACAGTGCTCATCCTCACATATCCTGTCTGTTCAAGAGCTGCTGCTACTGTCTGTCCATGGGAATGCTCAGCACTCCCAGAGCCACACGTGCTGACTCACAGTCCTGTTGCATGATCTTCATGCTAACACTTGGCAACTTCTGAGTTCCCTGATTTTATCAGACATGGCCTTAGCAAGCACAGAATGGTAGAATTCAAATTTCTGCATAAGTCTCATAATATTTACATTGATTGATTGTTGTTTTGTCAGAAAAACGAGTCTCCTGACAAAAAACTCTGCCTATTGTTTGGCAATTTAGCTTAGAGAGTCAACAATGTTGCATTCTTCTTACAGATCCACTTCTTTAAAGTCTGGCAATTATCCATTTGGATCGTATTTTTTTTTCTGTAAACAGCACAGTTCTCGTCAGTCCCAATTCTACTTGTAGCTAACCTGATGAGAGAACAAGAAGGATATAATGACTTGTCAGTTTTAAATTCAGTACTGGATAAAAACACTGGTAATATACTGGGTCAGGGTATTGGGGAAAGCACATTCAGTGACATGTTGAAGTACAGTTCTTCTACAATCACGCATAGGTGGAATGGGCACCCACAATCAATCCTTCTGGCCACTGAAGGATTGATTCTCATGAACATTACTGTAAGAAACGTGAGGAAAATCTCTGCATGCAGCCATGATGATGAACCGCAATGCAATGTAATAGTGAGAGGCAGAAGGACCCTTCAGCTGCATGAATCCTGGCACCAACTCTGTGTAATAGACATCACATTCAATGGAGGTGGTATGTACAGTCTACGCACTGAGAGTTCAGTGATGGTGATTTTTAATGGGAGAAGTGTGTAACAATTTCCCTTTGTAGTCATAAACACAAAAACTGTGACTGTGGTTGGTCTTGCAGCCAGAGGACAAATCTGCTTCCAGAGGTGCCCAGCAGGATCTGTTTAAACTGGTGGTGAAAGAGACAAAAAATAGGTGCCTGAGACTGCAGGACTAGGTCTATACTTTGGGAAAAGAGCTTGGGCTCAGAGTTATATTTCCATGCAGAGTGACACACCTTTGCTTTTGCCAAAGATGCCTTCCCCTTCAAACCCGCAACCAGTAATCACCTGTTTTCTTTTACTCTGGGATCTCCAAGCAAATTCCGTTGTTTCTTCTCATCTTCCACCTTTAACCCAATCCATATATATTTGGTATCTTTCTCTTTATTATCTATAAATTCCTGTGGAACAAGCAGAAATATGTTATCCAGCAACAGAGTTTTTCTGCTGTGTTCAGGTCCCTGTCCTGTCCCATACACAGCTTTCAATGCAGTCCCTCACATGAAGGGAAAGGGCAAGGATACAGCTACAGCAAAGCAGCCCATTACAGTGGCTTACACACATGACCACCCACAGAGATTTGATTTAGGCTGATGCTCAGACCAATTAGCTTCTTGCCAGCTGTCAAAAAAAACCCTCAACAACTGGAAATGGCCTCAATGATGTTTCACACTCTAGTGAGCCAGACTACAAACTTTTAAGGTAAAGTCTTGTTCCTCAAAGAACAAAGAGTTTCTTAGAAGAGCCATGACCTGCCATTTAGTCATACCCTGATATTCACATTTCCAAAGAAAAATGGGATGGAGGTTTGACTGTTTGAATTTCCATAGTCAAATAGTAGTCAAATCAAACCTCTCTTCTCAGAGCCAAGTATTGGAGATGAGTGGGAAGCCCCAGCATTTCCTCCTCCCAGTCAAAACTGTGGTGGTTTCCACACTTGTTCCTCTTGTGCTTCTCTCTATTTCTTCTCTTGACTCTCTCTGAAATGAAGTCCTGTCCATAGGGAGTCAGATGCTCTGCACCTGATAAGGTTCTTGCTTGGCTGTGTGTACACCTGATATTTGGGCAGCAGTTGGAGGTTCACCTGGTGAAATGTTTGGCTAAGCTAGATGCTTGTTGTGCATTTTTTTAGGGCTGCTGCAAGACTTACCATCTCAATTTCATCTTCAATGACAAGAAGCTGGGATTTCTTAGCTAGACAGTTTCTTTGGCTGTCATCCCAGCTTACAGCCTCCTCAGAGAAGTAGTAACACCTTCCCCTGTGTAGTTGCCACCCTGGCGGACACAGCTCACATGTTTCTGTAGATGGAGAGAGGGAAACATTAGCTCACACCATTACTTGTTCCAGTTGCCCTGTAGCATTTTATGTTCATGTGCCAGGCTGGCTGGTCCAAAAGCAGTCAACCTTTACTCCAAAGAGTGGGTTCACTGGTAGCGGAAGGTTGTGAGGTTTGAAGGCTTCTCTGTCACACCTGTTCTCAGCTTCACAATCCCTTGCCTTGATGCTATGCACTTGTGCATTACCACTGCACAACTCCTCGCTCTCCCCTCCCTGATGGATATGCCAGGTGGATATGCACAGGGAGAACCTAGAGGGCTGCGAAGACATTCATTCCCCTCTTGAAGTCCTTGTGAAGAGATACCATGCTATAGGACATGATGCAGAGTGTGTAGATATTACATATGAGGTGACTGAAAACCACAGATACTTTATTGAGGTCCAAATTATGTCTATCAAGCTGAATAAAGAGTTAGAGTGAATTGAAGTGAATGCTGTCATTCCCAGATACACTCTCTGTTTCACTCACAGCATCTGTGAGGAACATCCCTCACATTTTCTGTCCTGGTTTCCTTTAATGTTTCAAAGTAACAGTGTCTATATATATATATATATTTTTTTTCTCATTACAATCAACACTCAGAAATGCATTAATGTTAACTAATAAATAATAGATCCATGGTGAAAAGACCAGTAAGGTCTGCCCCTTCATGATTCTTGCAAAAGGGTAGGAAAGCTAAATCCTACCCACTCTTTGCAAACAGTTATTGTCTGGAAAGTGTTCTCTAGGATACAGGGAGGCTATAATAGATGACATTTCTGATAGCAGCCTTTGACAGAAAGAAAGGTCAAAGAAAGTACTGAAAATTGTATGTACCAAATAGTGCAAAGCTGATGTCATTAAAATGTTAGTGTAGATCCAGTCACCACTTCTCCTACGGAGGAACACCGTGCTCCCCGGGTAGTACCAGTGATTTCCCATAAATTGTGGGCTGTCATAGAAATGGGAACAGAGACAACAGAAGTGTGCACACAGCACATCTTTCATAGTGTGAAAGGACTAACTTTCCTCACCTTCTCCATCTTCACACAGTTCCTCCATTAGCCATTTCAGGACCACCACCGAGATTGTTTTCTCTGAAGAAATGTGATTGTCAGTGTTATTTAGACCATACTGGGAAAAAAAATCCGATTTTTCTGCTCTGCCTTCCAAAACTTGAAGAAACAAAATGGAATAAAAATATAGATACAGATTATGATTAACAACAGGGTCAAGGAAGTACAGTCTTTGTATACAGTGTTATACTGTAACTGTGAGATGTGTGTGTATATGCATGCGGAGGGGTATGAACACTCAATTGTGAGTACATTCAGTGAGTATAACTGTCTGGCAAAGGGTGTAGCTGCTGAATGATATGGTGAGTACAGGAAGGTTTATGCCACATCTGATAGCTGGATGTATAAAGAATAAATGATATTTTGGTAGGAATTTTTGTTGGGGAAGTATGTGTTGTGTTTTTTTTTTTTCTGAAAATTTTCAAGGCTATTTTCTTTTAGGAAATTAATATATTCTCTGGAACAGTTCTTAAATAACTAGAACATGATCTGGGCTGTGATATTACTGGTACCAGGATGTCTGATTAAATGAAACAACCTGAAGTCTGTTTTTGTTTGTTTGTTTGTTTTGTTTTGTTTTGTTCTTTTTTTTTTTTTTAATTATTTGTTCAAACCCACAAAGTAATTAATAGAAATAGACTCAAAGTAGCACCACAGATGCAACGTTTAACTCATAATTCAGGAAGGTCAGACGCTCTGATTATCCTAGTGATTTGAAGTCTGCCTCTACAGCCTTTCAGCATCATTGATGATGACGTAGACTGCAGCAATTCTCCTTCATCTGTGCTCTGTATATTAAATGTCAAGTAGGAAATGTTCCCTTTGGAACACCACATCTATTTTCCTGTATCTGTGTATAACCTGACACCTTTAATGTGATGCTAAGGGAAAGTGGTTTTTTTTTGTTGTTTTGTTTTGTTTTGTTTGTTTTGTATCATTGTTTTTGTGAGGTTTAACCATGCCTATAATGAAGAGATGAAACTGATGGTAGGATTTACTCACATTGCTTTGCTAGCACAGCCATGGTGACCAGCAGAATGAGCACAAGAAATCCCAGGGCCAGTGCCACATAGAACCAGGTTGAGCGCTGCTGTTTGCAGCCTGGAAAGACAAGGGGAAGAGTGGCTTAAGCAATTTGCACTACAAAAAATAGCACTGCCTTCATGTATGACTGTTTCTAATGTGGAAACAACAGAGAAATCATGTAAAATAACTGCCGTTTGTAGTATGTGGGGACATTTTACTTATCAACAATTTGCATCTATTTTGCTTAGGTGAAAGTGAAGTTGAAAGATCCTGTTGTCAGAAAAAGCACATGATTTTCAGCCAGTTATTCCATTAAGAATTCTCTTTTTCTCTTTTGAGATAATTTTTTTCAAGCATTGCCTATTCCCATCTACCCACTCACACCCTGCAAAGCCCTGCAGAGCAATTCCAGGGAGATGTCAGGAATGATCAGTGGTATGCTCTCTGACCATGCTCTCCTGTGTTAAAGCGCTGGCTGTGTGGCTGAAAGCTAACTTACCCAAACTCACATAAAAGGCAAAGATCCCACACTGACCTCACAGCACAGAGAAATACAGTTGGTCAAGCATCTCTCCAGCCATTTGGCATTCATCAGTTTCTGGGAGTGTAATACCCAGGAAAAGGCAGGACCCGAGGAAATTTGGGGTCAAGGTGTTGTTTCCACAACCCACAGAGTTATGCTTTCATAACTACTTTTTTTTCTGATCTTTCCAGGGTGAGATGAGAAACTGCCCTGTTCTCCAGCCGCCTGAGATATATTTGCAATGTTCCCTCTTAGCTCACAGAGCTTTGTGGTTCTGGCCTTGTTTTGCAAATGTCCTTCAGTAGAGAAGGTGACACCCCTCAGGGCACAGACTGCAAGTAGAGAGCTGGGACTGCAAATAGTGCTCTGGGTATTAGGCTACTTCCCAAGCTTCCCTACAGCTGCTCCTGCAGAGATACAGTTGAGTCTGTACTTATAGGAGGGTTCTTCAAAGAATGCAGAATTTTATTTTCCTTTACTAAATTTTTAGTTCAGGGCACAAAGGCACTAAAAATATTTTTAAAATCTTTTTCAGTATCACTTTTACAGGATAATCTGAAAACCCAGTGAAAAGAAACGTGACCATGTGAAATGAGAAATCAATTCCTTACTGGGAGATTGTATGTAAAGATTCTTGATAATAGGTTTTACTGTTGGGTAATAGGAAAGACTAAACTATAATTAGTAACTGACAACCAACAAAATAGTACAATACCAGAAACGGAAATCTCTGATCTGCTGCACCCTTTGGGTTTCGTCTTAATGCGCAGTTCAGCATACGTGATCATGTTTCCTGTAAGGAGTAGGGAAATGCTAACATTTGTGGTTGAACGAGCCATTAAGTGGAGAAAGAAGAAAGAATTATACAGGAGACACAGAGTCCATGTAAAAAGGGACATGCATTTCCAGAGCTGCTGGTTCAGCTTTTTTTTTTTTTTTTTTTTTTTTTTTTTTAAGAAACAACAGGCAAGATGATGACTTACCATTTCCTGCTGCTGTCAGGAAGTAACTAAAAACCTCCTCCATAATCTTTGCTTGAACTAATTGGGTGCTGTATGGCTGTACCAGGAGGCAGCCGGGCTGACGTTTCATTAAGACCTGGGTACCAGCCATAGAAAGTTTCCCAGTGTTGCCAAGCCATCTCAAGAGGTACCATAGGGACTTTCTGGGCAGCAGAGCTGTGATTGCTTTGCAAAGCAGGTGGACCGCAAAGGGAAAACTGCAATTCACAGAAATACTTCTGCAGCAAGGTGGTTCTGGGGAACATTCTTGGCTTGTGAATTTTTATGCTAGAGCATTATGTGAAACCTGTATTAGCAGAGGAATGGACCTGCTGATTTAAGGCATCCCTTTCCAAATGCACATTGCCAAAACAAAGCAAGAAAAGCAATTAAAATAGGAGGGTATGAGTTAGATGCACATGATTTCACTACTGAGCACATTTTCAATTTTGTTTTCACCATTTTGTATTTTGTAGGGCTACTAGCTAATTTTATGGATGATATATTGACCTTTGGTACATTGATCTTCTCTCCATAAATAGTGGGTTTTAATGAAGCTGAATCAAGAATAAGCTTCTGTGCTACATGCTCGGTTTCTGATCATTGGGTTTTTAAGAAGTACTTTGTGTTGTACATAGTCTCACTGGTCAGAGAAGAACTTGGCAAAAAAAATGAAGAGAGTTTCACTGGGATGAAATGAGGTAGCATTTGATATGAGTTGCTGAAGTGTGGAGAGGTTTAATATAAGAAAAATAATGAGGAGTACTGAATGGAAAATGAGGTTTATTCATAGAGGTAAAACCTCCTATGTTTTAGAGAACATTGCCTAATACATTTTGCTGTTTGATGTGTTACAATTTATTGGCTCAGTGAACTACAGAAAATTTCTAAATTACATTTAACTGTAAAGATAAGTAGCTGTTTTCAGAAAGAAATGCTTGTAAGCATTTTTCTTCTTAGAATGTAAATATTTTTCAAAGTACAGTAGTGGGAACGTCTAAACATTTACATGCACTACCCCTATAAATGGAAACACTTTTTCCAAAATACATACTTCAGAAAGTGTATTACTATTGCTAAATATTTTCTCTCCCAAATAAAGGTACTTTCCTTTAAAACTTGAAGAACACATTTCAAACAGTATAAATAATTTTAAAAAATCTTAGCCATGTAATCTGAAAGTTTCAAAAGAGGGATTATTTCTATTATATTGCTGTATTCTATTATATATGTGCTGTATTGGCACATGACCATTTGAATGTCAAGTCCTCAGAAGTCAGCAAGTGGTTTGAAAACACCACGTAACCTGAATTTTGCCGGATGCTTACACACCCCTACCTAGTTCAGCAATAAGGAGCCCTCGTTCTAGGTGGAGACCTCTGTCACTTACTAAAACTGAAATTTCACTTCTTTTCTGTATGCAAATCATCAAGTGCAGAAAGATATTTCTATTTACTGGAAGCTTCTACTTTGTGAATGTACAGATTGGGAGTGCTCCTGGCAGTTCATTCACACCAGAAAGTCAGGCTTTACAGCAATTGTGCTCTTGTGGTCTACAAGAAACCAGGCTGAATCTCAGCCAGCAGTGTGTCATTATCACAGTGGTTCAAGCCACCAGCGTGGTTCAGTTTGGAGAGCCCTGACTTGCAGGGGAGGGAAAGTTTCTGTGCTGCTCCACTTGCTGCTGTTGGGGCCATGGCTGGAATGTTGTGTCCAGATGGGAGCCACCCAGTTTAGGGAGTCTGGGGAAGCTGGAAAGAGTCCAGCAGAGGGTGGATGATAAGATGGCCAGGGGCACAAGTAGATAGGGGGCAAAATAAATGCAGCCTACAAATATTTGTAGGATAGTTAGATGATGGAATTGAACTCCCAATTTTTTTTATTATATTATATTATATTATATTATATTATATTATATTATATTATATTATATTATATTATATTATATTATATTATATTATATTATATTATATTATATTATATTATATTATATTATATTATATTATATTATATTATATTATATTATATTATATTATATTATATTATATTATATTATATTATATTATATTATATTATTTTGTTTTATTTTGTTTTATTTTATTTTTCTAGATGAAATGCCTTGTATGTAATCAGTTATGGGCAATAATCAGGTTGCTCTCAAACATTTCTTGAATACACTAGGAAGTGTGAACTGTCTTTTGTTAGAAAACTGATGTATTTATGTAACATTTTTCTACTTTTAGATGTGTTTTGAAGCACATGCAATGTGGTAGCACCTGCTAGTCCATCAAAGCATGTGCACAGATAATATCACCAACTCAACATGACCTGCTAGAGCATTCAGAGCTCTAGGTCAGAGCTTGTCCTGATTCAGAGCACCTGACCAACTGCTGAAGTCCAACAGATTGTGTAATGACCTAGCGCTGACATTCAAGTTGGAATAGGATCACAACAAGCTCATTTCTGGCACTCTTCTGGATGCAGCCTCACAAGTTTATATCCATAGACATGTTTTATTCCTACATTGTGGTAAACAGTGTTTAAACACTTTGTCCACTCCATCATCTTTATCCCAATAGTTTTCAATAACTGAGTTTTTCTTATCATTTGCAAACTAATTGGTTCTTTGTGACTGTGCCACCAGTGATTTCTTTTTTAAAATCTTTTTCTGTATCCTAATAAAATATACTCAATAAATAACCTTTGAGATAAGAATAGTAAATGGGAGAACTCCAAGAAACTCTGCATAATATGACCAAAACAAATCCAGCTCTCACAGATAAAGAAAAGACAAAAAAGAACTGGGCCCTGGATCTGGAAATATACATTCACACCCAAATCCAAATTTTACATATTTAAAATACCTACTCAACTTCTGCAGAGCCTTGGCAGACATTCAGCCCCCAGCATGTTTATCTTTCATATGCACCAAATCTTGACAGCAGCTATACTTCAGCAGGACAAACTAGCTATGCCCCTCACCCATACTATTTTAGTATCTACTCTAGTAAATTACATCTAACAAAGCTCATACATAATGCAGCCAGGAGGAGGTGGGCATGTTTGACTTTCCAATAGCCCAGTAATTTGAGGTCTTACCTAATGTTTGGGAATCCACAACTTGGAGTATTCATATGCTGAATTTGCAGTGGTGACTCAAGCCAGCTCTCCTTCCTCCCTGGTAAAATTTTAACCCGGCCTATCTTAAAACTGCTTCTTTTTCTGCAAGATAGCCAGATATCCCTGGCCAAGAGCAAGACTGGCATAAGTCTGGCAAAGGGGCGTTTGTGGGTAATAGGCATCATCCAGTGGACATTTCATTGTTATCACAGTCAGCTTAGAGCCAAAGTGAGAGCTTGTGACACTTGACACAGACAGCCCCATCAGCTGGTAGTTAGTGCATTCACCTTGGAGCTGAGACCCTCTCCATGAAAACTGGTTTCAAATGCTGTCTTCAAACTGGAGAAGGCATTTAAACTTCTTCGTGTAGGGTATGACAACGAGTGAGACATGCTAGTAGCATGTCTGGTATGCAGAAGCTGTTCTGTCCAAAACAGCCTCGAGCCCAGCCCACACTGGAGAGAAATTCTCCTGGCCTGTAGGGAAGGATCTAACACACAGAAATGGCTGAATGAGCAGCATCTTGGGTCATTGGTCCTCTCTATTGGCTGCTTTTGGCAGTTCCTAGCTCATTATGTTGGGTTTGATGGATCACAAACTTCCTCTTTAGCTCTAAAGAATTGTTGAGCACATCAGTAAGGGGCCGCTATGCAGTGGGTTACCTTAACGCTAATAACTGCAGTATTTACAGTTAGTTTAAGCATGTTTCAAGAACATTGGTCAACATCTCTGTCACATTTCATGTTTGTTTTTTCTTTTTTCCCTGAATTTTTAAAAATTACAGAAAATGCTGGGGATGTATTTATGTTTTCTCCCATTCTTCCCATGGTAGAACCAACTCTTTTGCTTTTGCTTGGCCTCTTGGGGTAAAAGAATACTTGCCAGCTGGATGAATATATATGAATTTCAGTAAAAATGTTAAAACTTAAAGGAAGGAATAAGCTGCTGAAATCATTAATTTGAATTTTCTAATGCATGATAATACATCTCAAGGTTTTGTCCACTTTAATTGCAATAACATCTATGTTAGCATATGTCAATGAAGAAGACAGAACTAATTGTCATTAGGGACTATTTCTAGCATATTCTAAACTTATACTAGGGAGCTGAACTCTATGATCCTTGTGGGTCCCTTCCAACTCAGGATTGGAACTATGATTCTGTTCTATGATTCTATGGTGATAGGTCTAATATTGCCTAATACTCTTTAGTGCTTCTTTCATTTGTGCAAAAGTAAGTAGAAAAAATATTGCCGATAGATTTCAGACTTTAAAAATAACAGAAATCTTAACAACGCATTTAATTAAGACACACATCAGACTTGTAAATGCAAGCCCAGTTGAATAAAATGTGTTTGAATACAACCAGATGTTATGGTGAAGGAAGATGATACTGGGATCTATCAGTAGTGAAGGAAACACTGTTTAAGATATTTTATCTGTATAATTAAGACAGCACACCTGAGACTTGTAGTAATACTGAGTATATATATTTCTGATGCCCATATTTTGTAAAGGAGATGCAATCATTGGTGGATGTACAAAAGATCCACAAAAATGACTGGAGTTATTTAGAAAGCTAATTACAATGAACGATGTAAAAGCAAAAGGAGAATCAGAGATGAATTAACTACTGTGGCTAGTAATTTAATGTGAGAAAACACTGAGTGCTAAAATCTGTTAAAGACAAAACAAGAACTATCTAGAAAGTAATGAGAACTTCCATTGGAAATTAAAGCCTGGCTGATTCAAAATCAAGATTTCCTTTAGAGAGTACGATCAAGGAACACGTCTGGATGTCTTCAAATCAGGATTTGACACCAGTCTCCCTTTGCAAATAAATTATATCACCCTGGAAACTGGGTAAAATTCTGAGCGAACCCTCTGTGCTTTGCGCTGTACAAGTTACACCAGTTCAAACAGCCTCTGTGAATGTACAGATAGAAAGTGTAAGGTACGTTATTCAATTAGGTATCTAATTCAAATGAACTCATTTTTATCTTTCAGATAAAGCTTTTGCAAAAATATAAAAAGTAGTTTATATTTTTTTTAAGAGCATTCAGAGCATCATCAGCATTATTTATCTTCACCGTAAGCATAATGTTTTCTAAAAATGCTCATTATACAATGCTTCTAAATATATTAATTTCTAATGATCATTGAAAGCATGAAAATATCATCTTATGACCTTTATGCATTTTCTGTTTGCTCAGGTGGTGGCAGACCTTTATTGTGATTCTGGGAAAATCAAAGAGGAAGAGCAGTAGGGTTTTAGGAGTCATTCAGTATTTCCTTCAGTAACACTGACTGCACTTTCGACTGGCACTAGTTTTCTGATTAAGTTTAGTATCCTCTTTCCATGAAAACGTCACAAAATGCATTGGTCTGATTTTTTGGGCTAGGTTAATTTGGTGGAGCATATCCTAACAGCTTTCAAACATAGTGTACATATTAAAAATAGTGACCTTTGTTTAAAAAGCTGCAACTTTTTTTTTCTTCTTGTTCTGTTACTTAAAATAATAGCCAAGAACTGAGACAGAGCTCCATAGCAATACTGACCTAAGAGCAACTTCTCTGATTTGTATCTCATGAGGTTCTCTTCCACAATCTGCAACTTCTTGCCCTTCTCATGACTTCTGCATACAGCATGTTATAGCATTCTTTTAGTATCAAATGACAGAAAAGAAGAAGAGAAGAGAGAAGACAGAAGAAGAAAAGAAAAGAAAAGAAAAGAAAAGAAAAGAAAAGAAAAGAAAAGAAAAGAAAAGAAAAGAAAAGAAAAGAAAAGAAAAGAAAAGAAAAGAAAAGAAAAGAAAAGAAAAGAAAAGAAGAGAAAAGAAGAGAAAAGAAAAAAGAGAGGGAGAGTGAAACAGAGGGAGAGAAAACAGTGTTTGTCCAAAAGCTGATTAGAGGTTTTACCTGGAACTGAAGTCCGAGAAGGCGTGCGTGGTCTTTCCCTGGGTAGCATTGCTACATCTACATACGTGATATCACCTGCCATTGATGAGCAAATCCCTCTGAGTTATGGCAAGAGCAGGTTTAATACAGTGGGTTGCATCCTGTATTAGCTTTGCCTGCCTCCAGAAGTATACATATGCTGTGCTATGGCTCTGAGGAACGCTGAGAAAGAGATAAAAGGAAGGAAGTTACTTCTTTCAATACAGCTTCAAAGCCTGTTTTCAGCCACCATTCTGTCTCTTCTTTATGATCTCTTGCCCTTCAGAATGCAGGAGAAAATGAAGAAGAAAAGATAAATAAATAAAAAACACACTATTTTTATTAATATAAAATGGCCCAAACAGAGGAAAGTTTCTATGAATACACAAAAAATGTACTTACACAAGTACAAAAGCTCTTCTGGTTCACACAAAATAGCTAAAGCAGTACAATATGGCTTGTGGATGTATTAGACTACTGTTAGTGATCTTACGTAACTTATTTACCTAAAAGGAAGAAAAAAAAGATATGTATCAGTATAAGACATTTTGGGGCTAACGTAATTACAACCACAGCTAATGCTTTTAAAATGCAATTCAGATTTGAACCCACTCAATCCACTAATTGTTTAATAACTGAATTTAGGTTATACTAACAGTGCAATACATTTAATTCAAAATAAAAAGTAATACAATCAATGTCTTTTACAAGAGTGTTTGAATGCTTTTATATTGCTCTATCAGTAATTACTAGGATCAGAGTTGCTGTTCATTAAGTGGTTTGAGCTGTTCCCTGTTTGACACTAACTCCACAGTCAGAAAGTCTGAGTAGCTTTTAATTCCTTGGTCATGACTCCTGTGTTTGCTGCAGCATATTTTGATGACAGTGTTTTTGTCTTCTACATGTATATTGAAAAGAAAAACCACAGGTTTGAACTGAAACGTAAGGCCCTTCTATAACCTAAAAAAAATGTTTCAGAACATAAAGACGTACTGTACATGAAGGGTCTGAAATTTCCTGTTAAGAGCTATATCATTGTTTTTGTGCTTTATTCCCACTTAGAAAATTTCTTCAGAATTCAGCACAGATAGGGTTTACAACCCTATTAATGCTAATTGAAAATAACATTTCTATTCTGTTACATACCCTATTCTCATTTTCTATTACATTCAATGGGACTATTAGAACCTTATAGATTAAAAAAAAAAAAAAGGTTTATTTTTGTGATCTTATATTACTGATCTTTTCCCTTTCTACTCTCAATGTTGGTAACAGCATTAAGCACTGAAACAAAAAGGTTTAGGGAAAAAATGAACCTTTGATAGTCATGGAACAAATTACTCAGAAGTACTGCTCAGGTACGATTTACATGCAACATATCTGAATTGTTGTTATTCTATCAGCCACAAAGTTATCAGTGTGCAGATGTGGATACTGTTAACTGGATACTGATAAGGTTTGTTTTATGACAACCTACATACCAGCTTTATGACTGGTCCAATCATGACACAAAGCATTTGCCCTCTGATTGAATCAGTTTCCATTGCGGGCCCCTGAAGTTCTTAACATCATTTGCAGCAGGATATTTATGCTTTGAAATGGAGAAAAGAAATATATATATATATATATATATATATATATATATACATGTATATATATATATATACATGTATATATATATTTTTTTCTTTCCACTTTGATCCATAAAGGAGAGCAGGAGAGCTAAAAGGCCAAAGAGGTTGCATGAGCTCTCAGTCTTTCTTTCCATTATTTCATATACACCTAGGCAGCCTTTTATCACATCACTCTCTCCTAAATGATTCAAAACCATTAAGATGTAATCATGTATAGTCTGTGCAAGCATGAGTCTTTTTGAGCAAGTGGAAAAAAACTGTGTTTCTATTTTAAAGAAACGTCCCTCTCCTCTCCTCTCCTCTCCTCTCCTCTCCTCTCCTCTCCTCTCCTCTCCTCTCCTCTCCTCTCCTCTCCTCTCCTCTCCTCTCCTCTCCTCTCCTCTCCTCTCCTCTCCTCTCCTCTCCTCTCCTCTCCTCTCCTCTCCTCTCCTCTCCTCTCCTCTCCTCTCCTCTCCTCTCCTCTCCTCTCCTCTCCTCTCCTCTCCTCTCCTCTCCTCTCCTCTCCTCTCCTCTCCTCTCCTCTCCTCTCCTCTCCTCTCCTCTTCTCTCCTCTCCTCTCCTCTCCCTCTCCTCTCCCTCTCCTCTCCTCTCCTCTCCTCTCCTTGCTGAAATACATTTTCAAACCCAGATGTAATCTCAATAAGCATGCAGTGCAGACTAGGCAATTACATCCTTTATGACTAAAAGGTTCTCACTTACCCCCAAAAAATGACGAATAGTTATTTTCCACAGCAAACTCACAAAACATCCATAAGCATTTCTCATTTTGGATTTGAGGTCTACTTGCTGTGCTCACTGTTAAGACTGTTAAGGAAAAGGAAGACGATTTTTAATTTCTAGAAGGAATAGGGGTATAGAAGTCTTTGAAGGGCATTTTTCTTGGATTCTTTCCATTCTACAGCAAAATTATGGTTTTGCGGTGTTTGTTTGTTGTTATTGTTGTTTGTTTGTTTGTTTTTTTTCTTACTTTTAAGAAGGGTATTGCACTGCTACCAAATTTTAAGTATTTCCTTTAGAAATAATACTTTCAGCTCTGCAAGTATTTTCATTCTGTTCTTTGTTTTCAGTTTAAATGCTGACTTTATTTATGAATACCCATCTGTGGGTCACCATGGCTGACCCACTGATCCTCACTGTATGGTGCTGATAGCACTTTACATCCAGAAGGAACAATCCTGTCTGTTTTAAGAAAAGGTCATTACAGAGCCAAAGGATGACTGTCTGCAAAACAACCAACTACTCACAGAGATGAGGGAAGGTTTCCTTTTCCTTACCCACGTGTGTGGGGGTGGCAGTTCCCTCCAGCTTGAAAGGTCAGGTCTCCAGCGCTATGGGGCATTACCAGCCTGCACAACTCAGGATTGTGCAGGAATATGGGGAGGAAGGAATCTCTGGAGGCCTCTTGTCCAATGCCTGCTCCAAGCAGGGCTATTTCCACAGCTAGAAGAGGTTGCTCAGATATTTGTCCAGGCAAGTTTTAGAGATCTCCATGGACAGAGGTCTCACAGATTCCCTGGGCACCTGTAACAGAGCTGCACCACTCTCGCGAAGGAAGAAATTTTTCCTTCTGCCCAGTCACAGTCTCCCTGGCTGTAATTTATGCCTATTGCTTCCTATCCTTTTGCTGTGCCCCTTTGAGAAGAGTTTGTCTCCAGCTTCTCTGTAATCCCCTTCTTGTATGTTACCTAACAAAATGCTACAGATAACAGACTAACATTGTATAAAGCAATAATCTTTCGTTATGTACCATGTGTCTTAAAATAAATTATTGACATTTGTTGTAAACTCTGCTAGAGTTCATCTAGTTTGTTTAGACACTGCCACAGCTTCAGTTTTGTAATATTATTGCAAAAATCTGAACAAAATTTTTGCTTGTCACAGCCCAATGTGTTTTACTGATGCATTTTGGAGTATAAATGCTTCACAAGATGAGTCTATTTAAGATTATTTTTGCCTTCACTGTCATCTTTTTACATCTAATCATTTGGTTGTAACAGTATTTTTGGTGTGTTACCTCCGTGTTAAAAAATAAATAAAAAAGTTGCCCAAATGCCTTGATGCTTCTTCACAAGTTTACATCACAGCTGTAAACTGGGTTGTGTGCCCATGTTGCTAAACTTCTCCTAGGATTCACAGCCATGTCACATCATGTCCTTTGACTTCTCCAGGTGAGGCCTTATCTCACTCTCATCTTTCCTTCCAGCCACCTGACCAATATGCCTAGCCAACAGCACATAAGCCCTGGCGAGGCCTGTGAAACAGCAGGGCTTGCTGTGCATTAGTCACCCACATGTCAGAGGCTGCAGGGAGGAGTGGTTCATTGGCCCCAAGTTCTCAGACTGTTTGGCAGAGCAAGGAGATACCTGGCAGTTCAGACCTGCTTGCAGCATCTGCTGCCTCAGGTAAAGGTGGTGGGTGTTGTTGCCTAGGATTTCTTGCCCATCATTTGGAGTCTGGCTATCTGGGGCTTAAGTAGCACTGCTAAGGTAGCCAAAAGAATGAGCTCAGGTTCTTCTTCTTCCCCACCTTGGCACATGTTCCTGACTGCACAGAGACACATTGCTGCTAACGGTCGTGGCTGAGTAATGTCATGTGGTGATGTTTGGGTGCGAGCACAGCTATCTGTTCCAGTCACACACAGGGCAGATGTGATAACGACTGCAGATTGCACCCCATCTGTAGGTGTGACAGTGTGTCCTCCATTGCGTGAGAAGGCACGAGTAGACAAAACAGCAATGTGGGCTGCAAAGCAGAATTCATCACCTTTTGCCATAAAATGTTCAGCCCAGGCATCTGACTGACTCATGGTGCATGTTTTGAAGAACTTAAACTACTTCTCTGACAACAAAATGGACCCCTTTATTTCCCTAAGGTTGAGCTGTAACACAGAGACTTCCAAGCTGATATGTGTGAATCCCATGCATACATCTCCAGTTCAGTCTTTTATTCTAAACGCTTTGTAACAGCAGAACCTGTATGTACAATGCAATCAGTGCAAGAGCAGCATGCATGCAGCTGTGATGAGAGCTATGACTAGAACCAAAGACACTTTCTCCCATGAATGAAAGCCTGTGAATTGTCATCCCACGCTGTAGAAAGAAGAAGAAAAAAAAAAGAAAAACAAAAGAAAAAAAAAAAAAAGAAGAAAAAAGTCATCTCAACAGGGTAAACCCATGGATTTACCAAGAAACAAAAAAATGAGCTCAGAAAACCAGCTGTGCCTGGGGATTGCAGGATGAATATTTCTATGCCAGCAGTTTCATGTTCAGCAGGTGGGACTTGGGTTAAATGCAAAGCAGTCAGGATTAGAAGTCTGTGAGATGGATTCTTCCCTGTGCAGCTTTGTTGTTGGTGGTGGTTTTGTTGTTTTTGTTTGTTTGTTTTGTTTCATTTTGCTTTTTACCTGTGTGTGTTTTGTGTTTTTTTTTTTGGGGGGGGGGGAGGGAGGTGCTGTGTGAAGGGGGAATTTCAAATCTTTTTTTACTCTTCAGGTTCATTCCCAAAGATATGGCTGTGTGGAGTATTTATTGTGTGACATTTTTTCACTGCTCAGCAGTGATGGGGTGAATATGTGGACAGAAGAATGTGTTCAGTCTCCTGACCAGTTTGGTGAT